TATCTAATTCAATAAGGGCATTTAATGTAAGAACTAAATCTAATACATTTCTATGTTTAAATCAAAACTCACGACTTTCTATTGAATATAGATTATATATATATATATATATATATCTTATTTTTCCATGAACAATACAAAACATAACGATAATCATATAGATAAGTGAATGGAACGATAAAAAGACAATTGTTTCCTATGATTATTTTATAACAAACAATAATTTGATCTTGTTCTATTAATCGATTGGCTCTGCTTATGTGACACACTTGTAAACAACGTGATATTAAGTGTCAACGAAATGGTATACAAGTTAATAAATCGATTAAAATGGTTAAGGAAATAAAGAGGAGAAAACGATCGATCAATCTTTCTACATCGTAATCGTTCGATCTATCGATAAAAAAAATATTTTTGCTTAAACGTTAAACTAATTCTTTACTTTGTATTTAAATTTCATTGGAAACTCACTTTCTATATAAATTGAATTATCTAATATTTGTAGTTATTAATTTCAGGAGACAAGTATAATTATTGATAAAAAAAAAAAAAAAGGAAAAAAAGAAAGGAAGAAAAAAACTAAATTTAGAAACTACTTCCTTCCCATATTTATGACTTTAATAATTACTTTCTTTTAAGATAACTTAAAATTGTATGTTAGGCAGAAAAAATGAGCTGACTCATACCTAAGATAACACGAATAAAACAAACTGAAATTATTATTATTATTAACTATCAAGTAATTATTATTAATTAACGAGTGTACTACAATTATTCTTCATTTGAGGATTTGGAAGGTTCAATTTCAAAGTATTGGCCGTTTCTGCTCTTATTTGTATGAACGCTGCCTTTGGCATGATGAGTATAGGATTCATTTTACCAGCGGCAGCGTGCGATTTTAAGATGACAACGGAAGACAAAGGTCACCTGATTGTATTGACCATGCTAGGTAAAATAGAAAATCCGCGCAATTTATTGCGCATGCTGGGTTGCGTCTTTCTAGATATAAATGAAGGTATTCTTTTCAGGTATGTTGACGGGTTCTTATTTCTGGGGCTGCCTTGCTGATACCAAAGGACGAAGAATTTCTCTCCTGGCATCCCTCTTCCTTCACGGTAGCTCCGAATTCTTAGCATCACTGATACCATATTATTGGGGCTTCGTGTTAGTCAAATTTATCAGCGGTCTGGCGTTAGTATGATCAAAAAACACAAACGAGAAAACTTATCGACGAATTCATCGAGCTGCGTACGTTGTACGCCATAAAGAATTTCATCCGTAGACTATCTGGATTAACAAATTTTCAGTATATGTGGACAGTTAACGATGCTCTATACATATCTTGCCGAATTTCAACCAATTAAGAAGCGTGATTTGTTTCTCTCATGGATGGAAACGGCATGGGTAATGGGAATGGTGATCGTAGCGTGTAAGTATTCCAATTCTCGTTGCATTTATTTCTTTTCCTTTTTCTTTTTCGTGTTTTTTTTCTTACACAACATCCTTTTTATATTTTCAGGCGTAGCTTGGGCTACAGTCCCGTTGGATATAAAATATAAGACTAACACGTTTTCCTTTCGCTCGTGGAACTTGTTCATCATGATTTGTTCTTTGCCATCTTTTACAATTGGAATCTGGTTATCATCTTTCCCAGAAACTCCAAAGTATCTTGCTGAGACTGGACAAAATAATAAGATGTTGAAGGTTTTAGCTAAAATGTATTCGGAGAATACGGGGAATCCTTTGGAAAAATATTTGGTAAGTTCATTTTCGTCAAGTACTCTTGAAAATCTAATTAAACGTTTCACAATTAATTTCACATTTTTAATACTCAATTTTCTTCTTATTTGAATAGACCAATTTGAAAAATTGTGGAAACCAGTTGCTTTCAGAACTGGCCTTTTGTTTAGAAGGAAAGATAAACGAGAAAGAAGAGACGATCAAACCAAAGTCATTGAAGATTACCATAACGAATACATTTTTGCAAACGTTGATGCTTGTAAGAAAGCCATATTTGCATAGGACGTTCATCGTATGTTCCGCCACATATTTGATTATGACTTCTTACTACATGTTGCTTCTCTGGTTACCTGATCTTTTCCAAAGATACGCCGAATTTCATGAACGTTTTCCTAATCGATCGGCCACGGTATGCACCGTTGTCGCATTTGAAAAGAACAACGAAACGGTGAGCGAACAATTTGAAATAAACTTTTTACAATCTCTCCGAACACACACACACACACACACACACACACACACACATATATATATACATATTCTTTCTAGGTAACGAATATGGATCCCTTCGGTTGCAATACACCGATACAGAGCAGCGTCTTCTTATACGCATTTATTTTAGCATTATCAGGCGTTCCTGTTGGTCTTACGTTACCTCTCTTAATAAATCGTTTAGGATATAAATTCTTTTTAGGTAAGTCATTGTCAAAGCGATTATGGAAACAAATCAATACACTTTAACTTTTTTTTTACACGTATTGATTTTAGTATACTTTGCGTCGATACACTTTTTCCTCGAAGATATTTTTTATTATTTTTTTATTATTTTTTATTATTATGATACATTTTGATTAGTCAACACTTATTTGTCTAGATTTATCATGTCAGCCTTCCTTTTTGTTTTAGTTGTCGGTACGATAATAGCCAGTTTTGTATCGTTTTGTATCTTACTTGTTAAAACATCTGTTGAAAATTTAATCATCTCGTGTATCTTTGAATCCATTACATCAATTTGTGTCAGCGTTGTCTCCTGTATGTTGATCGACTTCTATCCAACTCACTTAAGGTATCGCATCTAAGGTATTTTATGCCATGAGTATTATAGACAAGTTTAACTATTCATATTATTCTAAACTGCTTATGCACCACTTTAAACGCAACCTTAACACGTCTAATATATGGCCTTTTATTTTTAGAATTTTATATCTAACAACATTGATTTCTCTTGCGAGATCTTTATCAAAAAATACAAATACACAATTATGCGTCGTATATTTTTTTTCTCGGTTTGCATGTTTATTTATAGAGCATTATATAGAGTATTATCTTACTTCGCCTAATCGATCATATGTGTCGAAGAAAATCAAATTCGATCGAAACAAAAATGTACGATAACAAACACGTGTAAAAGTTTCTATTGTAACCAATGTTTTGTTAATCGATCGATAAGAATCATTCGCATCGTCCGAGATCAATCGTTACAAAAGATAATAAAGGGAAGAGAGAGAGAGAGAGAGAGAGAGAGAGAGAGAGAGAGGGAAGGTTAATAATTGCGATATTTCTCTTTGTTGATTCTTTTCAGATCAATAGCAGCCGGTCTCGCTTCATTTTCTAGTCGGCTAGGCGCAATGATGGGAAACTTGATGACCGGAATATTGATCGATAATCATTGCACGATCCTCATCATATTGGTAGGGTTACAACTTTTTGGTGAGTGCCAATAATATTAATCAACCTAAAGAATTGTAATCAATCTTCAACTCGAATTTTCCTTTTTAGTGTGTGGTATACTCAGCTTGCTTACGCCGAAAAAGAAAGAAATGGAAAAAGCAAAGATAACCAAATTCTAAAGATATTTCGATATTTTCTACAATAAGCTACTTAGAGATATTCTCAAAAAAAGAAATAAAAACAAAGAAGTTCGACATGTTTCCCCATCTTTTTCTCTTTTTTTTCGTGTCTTCACTATGTTGTTCTTTGAAACGTGATTAAAATACTATTTATCATGGAATTTTTCTATTTCCTACCGTTCAAAGTGTAGATAATAAGAATGTTTGTTTCATTAATAAGGTCAACGTGGTAGATCACGATAGAACGAAGGTAGTTATATAGGTATATTCATTTGTACGTCTTCAAAATCAACGCGCTCATTCAGTTTACTTCTCGAGTATAAATTTCGAAAGTATACATGACATATATTATCACACAGATATTCGTTTTCTTTTTTTTTTTTTTTTTTTTTTTTTTTTTTTTTTTTTTTCATTGTACCTTAGCCTTAGTCAGGCTTAGCCGACCTTCCGATAACAACTACATCGCGTGAAAAAAATGGGACGCTTATTGCGATACGCAATTAATGGTGTGCGGTTGTCGTATGACTTCATTCGAAATATTACCATTCTACAAAGACGACATTAAATTACTATAGTGTCAAAGAGATTTTCAAACAATTTTCAAAATCGGGGGATTAGAAGTTAATAAAACTCGAATCGATATTATGAAAAATAATAGATCATTCTTGGAAACGAAAACTGCAATATTATTTAACAATTTCATCCATAGAATGTTGTGACTCGACAAAACACAATGTTTCGTAATTATTACAATTTTCAACGTTCAGTGCAAATTGCAAGTTCTAATTTAATTAACAAAACTCTATCGACTCTAATTCGTTTATGTTAAGGTCGTAAAAAAAAAAAGATAAAATAAAAAAGAAGAAGAAGAAGAAACTATTTCTTATATCAATCGAGACCATTGACTTGTTCCTTAGATGGTTCATTCGATACTTTCAAATAGGTCGAAAAGGAAAACAAAATTATTTGGCGAACGATCGCCCTAATATTTTTGGCAACGCGAATGTCCTTGATGTTGACCAACGAGTTTCCCTTTCGCAAAGTCTTCTAGCCAATGTGTACGAAAAATAAACATCCGGAAATGACTGGTTAAGACCGCATTGGCACGCGAATCTACAATGTGACTTACCTATATCGATATAAACTAACATACATAACTTTTCGAAAGGAGTTACAAGGTAAGAATACGTAAGGAGACTCGGCAGTGCCATCCGATTGGCGTCCAGACACGGGACCAAACGATATCTCTCCTCTTAAACGAAAACGAAAACTTTCGATTTACAAATTCGAAGATAACAATCTGAGAAAAAGAGAAATAAAAGGAGAGATAGAGATAGATAGATAGATAGATAGATAGATAGATAGATAGATAGAGAGAGAGAGAGAGAGAGAGAGAGAGAGAGAGAGAGGGGGAGAGAAATTGCGCGTGTATAGTGTGAATTAACGTGTCACTTGGCGTCACCTTGCGTTGTACATTGCGTCGCGTTGTGTCGCGTCGCGTCGCGTAGGATCGCCTAGCCTCGTGTCGGAATTGGCCATTACGTTTGGCATTAAAACCAATGTTAGCTTTCCAACGTTCATCTCTTTAACGTTTCGACTCAAACGAAAGAGAACAGATACAGAAACGATCATCCTTCTGTCGTCCTTATATCGTCATACCGTTCGTCATTTCCCTAAAACAACGAGCGCTAGCTACTGGTGATTGATTCTTCTATCTTTTCTTTCTTTTATTTCTTCCCCATTTCTCAGAATATCGGCTTCTTCTCTTCAATTCTCCTCTGTTACAACGTTAATAAGGAAAGATACTTCGGATCGTTCGAAACAATATTCCCAATCCTCTACGAAACGTGGTAAATTTCAAGCAATCCGTCCTACCCTTTTTTCCCTTTCTTTTCTCCCCTTTTCTTCTTTTCTGTGCGAAACGGTAGAAAATCTCGAGGGAAATTAAAATGATGGCGTCGTTTGCAGATGTTGTCGCTCGCGTTCAACGTCTTTTATTATTTCGAAACATTCTGCTCCCGGGCAAAGCGCCAGTTTTGGATTATTAACTATCGCTATGGAGTTATCGATGAAAAATGTCTCATCCATATCGTACGAGTGCGAGTACACTTATCAGTATTAGCTGACACTATTGTTGAAGATCCTTTATTTTACTTTCCTTATATTTTTTCTGTTTCGTTGACGGAAGAGATTAAAGCCACTATATTTTTTCACCGATAATTTTCAAAGAATTAAAGAAACGTGAAAAAAAATAAAGATAATTAGAGGGAAAAACCTAAATGTTTATAAATCAGTTCATTATAAAAGCGTTGAACGAATGAAAGAAGGCATTAGGCTGACCGAACGTTTGGCAGAGATCCCTTTTTTTTCCGTATCGTGTGCCAACAAAATCAGATCTTATTAGTTTTGTTGTTTCTTCAGAACGGTGAGAAGAACTTAATGATCGATTTATAACGCTCGTTGAGTGCTCTGATACGACGATATCATAAATAAAAATAATGATTTCTCAAACAATCCCGACTCCATTTTCAAATTGCCGACTAATCTCTTTTAATCTTTTTACAATCGAACAGTCTATCGGCTTGAAATAGTATCCTATTAAAAAGATATAACGTGAGAGATTAAAGATAAAATATCTTGGACGAGTTAAATACCACGATTCTCTTTCAAATCTTATTTCTAGACTTTCCATGAATATATTTTGACGCTTTCTTCGTGATGTAACTCACGTTTGAAAAGAGATCGATCAATTGCGCGATGTTCGATCGTATAGAATGGGATTGTACTCGCTGACTAACTCATTTCATTTGCGTATCCACAACCGACCCGATTGCGATAAGGATCAGAAATATCGATATTTCTTCTTCCTTCTTCTTCGATTTTATCGATCAGATTGGCATTCCTGAATTGGATTCAAAGCAAACTTGTCAACGCGCTAAATTAGATTATATGAAATCAAGAAATTTTGCTTGAAAAAGAGAAAAAGGGAGAAAGAGATATTTAGAATGTCCAACATTGCTAAAAACATCTGAACCATAAAAGATTTTTAAAACATTGTACAATTGTCATACATACAAAACATATTGCATTAAAATAAGTGATTCAGTTCAGTTAAAATAAGTGTGATTAAGTGGCGATCAATTTAAAGCAGTCTAGATCAGAGATATATTGTCGGGGAAAGCTTTTTGATCTGTTTTTAACAATAACCGATCAGATAAGTCATGAAGTTAAGTGATGAACGTCAACTTAATTTTTTTAGCAATTTTTCACGGTTACTGCGCTTAAAAATGTTTGCTTACCTTAAGCTTCGGAAAAAATATTTCGCAAAAATTTTCTCTTTGCTTACGAAGCTCGAAAGATCGACGAACTATGATACACATTCGGTGACTTGACAAAAGGAATTACTTGCTCTTCGCAATGAATAATCATTTATGTGCAATTGTTTTGAGGGGGGAGAAAAATGAAAGAAAAAAAGGAAAAAAAGAAAAGAAAATAAGGAAAGAAAAAAAAGAGAGTTTCCATCTCGAAGAAAATGAAGAAATAACGGCGATAACAATGTATAAATGATAGATAAAATGATTATTTATAGATTAATTATATCGTTCATCGATATTTTTTATTTTATTTCTTCGAGATATAGTTACGTTCAGTACAAAGAGAAGAACTCTTCTTCACCTTCGCCTTCTTTTACGCGAAGATGAAGATCACATTCGTTATCAAAATGACTTAATAATTCAAGATATTTATTCTGACGTATATTAGAAAGAAGCCATAAAAAAGGTAGCGGTTCATGACGTATCCTTGCTTTCGATGAAACAAGAGCTTGTTATCTTTCGTCAATTAACCGAGTTCAAACAAACGGATCATGTTGTCGGTGACTTTCGTATTCTTATGACAGAAAAATGCAGAAATTTTTAACTGGTAGTTCGAGATAAAGATCTTTCTCGAAATCTTAAAGGGAAGTTGAACAATATCAGGTGATATTACAACTTCATGTCTTATAATAGCTCACATGATCGACGATGAAAACGTACGTGGACCATTGTCTTCTTAGGGATTTAAATTTCTTCGAAGAGAGAAAAGGAAATAATAACAAAGTTCTTATCTTATATATCGTAGCGTGTATTCTTCAAAAATATTATTATTTTTTTATCTCATCAGAGATAATCCGAGAGATCGAAGAAAAGATATTCAAATTTGGTGAAATGAAAAAAATTCGGATTTAGTATAAATAGTACGGTATAACTAACATTCAAATATTTCTAAAATATTTACCATCGGTTGATTAAGAGTGATTAAAATTGTTCATAATGAAGATCCTCGGTTAACTCTTCGTTGAAACTTTGATCATTAATTTCGAACGTGCTTGGCATTGCCATCGAAGATGTTTTATGAATCAAAGAGTATCAGGTCTCTTCTTTTTCGGGGCATGACGATTAGAAAAGAGAGAGAGTGAGAGAGAGAGAGAGAGAGAGAGAGAGAGAGAGAGAGAGAGAGAGAGAGAGAGAGAGAGAGAGAGAGTGAGAGAAAACAAAAAAAGAAGATGGATTGGGTCGGGGAAGGGGTAATAATATCTTATCTCGCTTAAGAGAATGGGCTACTGGAATGGGCTCAAGATACGTAAAGAAGGTAGAATCGATTTCTGTCCAGTAGCATTCATTCACCGGCGCGATTAGGCTAAGGTGAAAGATCGGTTGGTTGTCATTCTTAGTTGTATTCTTGATAGAATTGTTAAGGGTACAGTGAAGAAGGGAAGGGTTTTGGCTTGTTCGCCGATCTAAAATATAGAGATCGGCCACGGAAGAAAACAATCAGTTTCTTTCTTTTCTTTTCAAAGGAAGACCAGAATAAGAGAATCTCGTCGGGATTTAGGTGAGAAGACATCGAGAGAAAATTCTCTCGGTGGAAATCGTCGAATTCGCTTAAGCGATAAAGACGGCGATCAGATACCACCGAGTATTCACCAATGAGCGTGGCGTGCAGCCTTTACGGCAGAAGACAAAACCGTGGTACACGTACGGGAAAGCGACAGTGCATCATCGTAGCTGCCTACAGGACCCCCCAAAGAAAGTCCTTCGTCGTAATTTCCGCACCACCAAAACTGACGAGGACACTTTGCGATTTGAACAAGTCTCGTTTGACCACGAACGATCATCATGGGTAGGTATTTTTTTTTTTTTTCACAAAGAAAGATTACGTGAACAAGGAAAATGATCGAGATCAGAAATAGATCCCATTTTCTATTAGGCGAACTATTGAAATAAGTCGTTACCGTTTCGTGACAATTTTTCGACAAACTTTCAAATTAAATTTTTATATATTTACATATATTTACATATATTTATACATCTTTATATATATATATATATATATATATGTACATATATTATTTCTTATTATCTTTACAGGACTCGATTTCTTGGCAGACGGAGGTGCCGACTTCGAGCATGCAATCACCGTAACAGGTATGTTCATTGATAAAAAAAAAAAATAATATCTTATCGAGTTGAAATTTTTAATTCTTTATCTTACTTTGATGAACCATCGTGTATTTTATTTTTATTGAATTTATTAATACTTTAGCAATTAGTATAAACGATTTGTACAATGGCATACATATACAGATATATGCGTCCATTACAAAAACGCCTAGTCTCTTATCAGCAATCGTATCGTAACGTTAAATCATCCATGTGAAAGGTACAATTGTTAAACATTTTCGATCAAAGTCAAAGATATGATTTAGTAATTTCAAAATTGTAATTACAATCTTGTCATCCCTATTTTCTTAAATAATAAAACAATTTATTCTTTCGTTTATTAATTTGTCATGACGTTGTAATAATTTTGTATTACGGGGATCATTATTGGACTCGCTTTGAAATAAAATAAAGAAAAATAGTGTCTTGAGTATTAAATAGGAATATATGCCGTGTTTATCAATAATTTCTTATTTATTGTCTTCACTCATTAATAGGATTTGGAAAGTTTCACTACATGTTACTGGCAATATGCGGGCTAATTTACATGGATACGGCCATCGGCGTTACAATACTCTCTTTCGTTTTACCTGCCGCACAGTGCGACCTGGAAATGGATTCCACTGCAAAAGGATGGCTAACGGCATCTCCAATGTTGGGTAAGTATTATTTAAGCATACTTTATTATAATTACTCAGTTAATATATTATAAAGAATTTTAACGAATTTTTTATTATACATTCGTAGGTATGGTGGTTGGATCATATATATGGGGATGCCTGGCTGATACCAAAGGTAGAAAAGTAGTATTGATAGCTACCTTGTTAATGGACGGAATAGTCGGAGTCATTTCGTCGTTCGTCCAATACTATTGGGTCTTTCTAGTCTTCCGGTTTTTTAATGGATTCGCGTATGTAACCAGTCGTTTAAAAAGATTCGAGAAATAATTGAATGATCGTTTAATCAAATTAACGAAAATTAACGTATTTCTTTCTATCGAAACAGGGTGACCGGCGCGATGGGAATTTGTTTCCCATATTTAGGCGAATTTCAGCCGACCAAATATCGCGAAAGGTGCCTATGTTGGATGGAAATGTTCTGGACGGTCGGTGTAATATTATTACCTCGTAAGTAATCTTCCTGCTTAATCGTTCGTTAATTCGAAGAAATAATATTATAACGGATGAAAGAAGAAAGACGAATTTTCTTTACAGTAATTGCTTGGTTAATCGTACCGTTGGATCTTTGGTACGAATCGGAAGTGTTTCACTTCAAATCTTGGAATCTCTTTGTGGCACTTTGTGCCTTACCTTCGATCGTCCTGGGACTTTGGCTCTTCGCTTTTCCAGAGAGTCCAAAGTTCTTGCTTGAGTGCGGTGAAGCCGACGCTGCCTTAGAAGTCTTTAAGTGGATCTATGCTCAAAATACTGGTCAAGATCCTGAAACATATCCAGTAATTATTAACTTTAATTAATTAATAACCTTTTTCTTTTTTTCTTCGTAAGAATTATACAATTTGATCAGCCCCTAATGCCGTTTAATCTCGTTCTCTTAAAATTATTTTTCCCAGGTTAAATGCTTGCAAGAAAAGACGAATAATAAGGACAAGAGTACGAGGTCATTGAAACTTCATAAGAAAAAAGATCTGAAAGTTCTTTTTTCGGAGGTTTGGGAATTAACGATGTCTCTTTACAAACCTCCTTATCTTCGTAATACGTTACTTGCTTGTGCCATTCAATTCGGGCTTACTAGCAGTTACTACACTCTTATGGTCTGGTTCCCTGAATTATTTACTAGGTAAATATACACTTTGAAAATGATATTTCTTTTCGTCTCAATAATCCCTGACGCAACGATATTGCGTCATGTTATTGTCATGGACTTTTTCACCATCTTTTCACGATCATGTATTTTTAGATTCGAAGAATTCGAGGATGATAATCCCGGTAAGACCACGTCCGTTTGTATAGTGTCAGCGCTCTCAGACAATGCAACCAATTTGGATCCTTATGGATGCGAAACAACCATCGGTGTGAACGTTTATCTGCATACCGTTTATATTGGTCTCGCCTGCATACCCGGTTCCATCATATTACCGATTTTTGTACACAAATTGGGAGCGAAATTTTTCCTAAGTAAGTATTTCGAATGTAAATTAACTCCCTATAATGGCATATCGTGCCTTTGAAGTCGCACAGAAACAAAATATATGCATATATTATATATCTCCATTTTCTATATCTTATTTCATATCATCGTTATGAAATTATTTTTTCATTGCATATGCCAAATAATATAGTATAATATAATACTATATTAGAATATATATCGAGAGTTCAAAATGCGAGAGCGTGAAAAATTTTTATCTCGAGAATATAGAATTTTTGAGAAAAAATTGGTTAGATAAGAATTATTTGATTTTAAAGAAGAAATATTGTGACTTTTACTTTCTTTTTTTATTCAGTGCAATATTTCAAGACGAAGCTTGACTTTGTTTCTTTATTAAATAGAAATCTACGTCTTTTATAATGACAACATATTATATATGAAAGAAAGAAGAAAGAAAAAGAAATGGGTAAATTTTGTCTAAAATATTCATTCGTGTCGAGACCAAAAAAGATCGGGTCATAGAGGATTAAGTTTCTAGCGAGAATTCTAACAAGATAATTAGACTCCTAATGCCTGGAAAAGTGGATGCAACTGGCAAATGGTTGGTACTAATAATGAATTGCTTTTTATTACAGTCTTATCGCTGCTAGTCTCCGGTGCAGTAACCGTAGGTTTTTATTTCGTCGTAAACTCCACTCAGAATCTAGTACTATCGTGCATCTTTGAAGCTTTAACGTCGCTCGGCATCTCTTTAGTTTATTGCATAATCGTTGACATGTTCCCGACGAATCTCAGGTAAGCAAACGTCACGATGTTACCTTTCTGATTTATTTATTCGAGAAAACACGATACATAACGATAATTTATTATCATTTAGTGGGACATGCATATAAGATGTGCAATTTTTCCCGTTTTAATTTATCAACAGTGACGACAAACTCTGATCATATACACCCAATTTGCATCTCACATTTATTCGATTTACAATTTAAATATTGTTATCTAAGTAATATAAACAGAAAAAAATCAAACGAATGAACATTTTTATTTTAATTTGAAATACGGTAAAAACTGGTAGTATTATTGCATTTTTAAAGATTTTAATAAACCTAGATTTATATTATTCTATTACATATGTAGAATCTATTTAGGCGACGAATATAGAACCTTTATTAAATGATAATTAATTAATACTGATTTTATCTCCAGGGTAATGGCAGCAGCCTTATCTCTAACGATGGGTCGATTAGGCGCTTTGGTTGGAAACTTAATATTCGGTTATTTAATTGATTTAGCTTGTGTCGTTCCTATAGTGATATTCGCTGCATTCTTGTTTCGTAAGTTTTAAATAAATATTTTTTTACGAAAGAAAAAGTTGATGTGTGCATGCGCGTGTGCACATACGTGTATATATTTTTCGTTATATTTTTTATATATCGTTCTAACGATATGATTTCTATTAAATTTCAGTATGCGGCTTGTTGTCATTTATACTTCCACGAACGGGAAAAGAAACTCTCGATTAAACAAACGAGAGAACTTAATTGTACGAAGAAACGTGACCTCGTGTCATTTTAAGGAAGTAAACACCCACACAGAATTGGATTGTTCAAAATGAAGGAAGAAAAAGTATTTATATTCGCATTATTGTAACGATATTGAAGCGTGTATATATATATATATACATATATACGCAAGGCACTTGGAATTATACACGGAACTTAATATGTATACACACACACACACACACACGTGTAGCGATGAGAAATGTCCATTGACGATTGTAATTCCGTTCTTATGTTTCGTATTACAATAAGTCACGTATTCATTTCACTTCGCTCGATTCTTCCTGATATGCATTAAAAAAACGATATCAGTAACAGGATAATGATATTCAGATATGACATTTGTCTTCTGTACTAAAAAAAAGGAAAAAAGTTTTATCATCGATCATGACGTATATGTATATTTATTCATAACTTCATGTAAAAGTAAATCGTTTTTATCCCTTTCTGTTAATTATTATTCATTCGAATTAGAATAACGTACAAATGCATATATCTATAGATATATATATATATAACAAACACACACACACACACATATATATATATATTATGCGTATTTATTATACTACTATTATTATGTGAGATTCGACGAGTAAGATTGATAAAATATCTGTAGAGGTACAATCGTGGTACAAAATTCTGTGACTTTTCGATAAAGATCCCACGTTTCGTCTAATTAGTACTTTCCTGTGGTTTTCTTTTCTTTTGTATCCCTTACATTCCCAATCTTTTCTTTCGAAAGTAAACTTAAATGATTCATTTATGTTGATGATAATCGTTCTATCTTTTGATTCTTTTTCTCTCGTTTATGTTTGAAATCACAGCTTTTATTATTATAATTATGTAAGAATTGCCCAATATTTTGAAGAGTATGTGTACATTTTCGATAGTTCAAACTCGATTAAATTCGTAATATACGATCGAATTATATATTAAACGAAAAATGCAACTGGACATATTTGAGGTAATAAAAGTAGTGAATAATAGCGATCTCTTGACATTTCTTGAAATGTAATGATAAGAAAAATGTGTGAATAAATATGGGAGCAGAAAAGATGAATGAAAACGTACGCATTTACCAAAGTAGAAATAATGTAATATCGGAAAAAAAAAAAATAATAAGATATACGAAACGATTTTGCAAAACGTTCTTACGTAACTCGCCTCAGGACTGGTCTTCGATTAGTGTTAATGATTACTATTCTATGAAAATACGAGGAAATTCAATACTACGAATACTTATTATTTCTTTCTATTTACTTTTTCTATTTATTTTTATCTTTACTATTATAAAAATAATTACTCAGCTTTCAAGCAGCCTTTAGATAGGAAAAAAACTCGGCAAAGACGTAGAGGGGATATGCATATTATTTAAAAAGCAAGCGCATCAGACAGAATTTTTATTGTATTCACCGTCTTTACCGAAGGATATCCACATGCTTCGATTTGTTTCCACTTGCTATCATTTATTTCCACTTGCTTTCCCATGCAAATTCGTACGAAAATTGTGAAACTTCTTATCATATCAATATCGCATCAATCTTACAATACATATTCCGAGTTTTGATCGCGTGATTATAGACTTTGTTGATTTTGTTCAGTTCACAGTGCCGCCTTTGCTCTAGTTTTGAGCATATCCATCCGATCAACTCTAGCTTATGACCATTTATATGTGCGAATACGTTCTTCCGTGAATCATTCATTTCCAAGAATTCATTAAGGAATCTTTAAGGAAAGTTATTTTCAATGTGTGAGAAAGATATAGAAATGAAGCAATCATCGATACAAGTATCAACAGGTAAGGTAAACTACGGAAAGCGATTCATTTTTTCTTCATTCTAATTCGAATTTTTTCTTTCCTTTTACTATTCCTTCCTTGAAAATTATCATTGAAAATTTCACTTGGACATTTTTCTCAATGCAGATGCGTCTAACGAGATAGATTTAGAAGAATTCGTCCAACTTGCCCTTAACGAAACAGGTTCGTTAGTAGTTCAATAACTCGACAAACAAATACCAATCGCATAAATCAATCTTCTTTGCATAGTCACGTTATTTCTTTCTTTATCGCACATCTTATTATATTAATCTTTATACTCGCTCTTTGCCGATTAGGGTTTGGTAAATTCAATCTGAAAGTGATGGCCCTTTGTAGTCTGGTTTATCTAAACACAGCACTCAGTATAAGCAGCATCGGATTTATTCTTCCTTCGGCAGCATGCGATTTTCAAATGAGCACGATCGAAAAAGGGAACATCAATATTATATTTTTAATCGGTAATAAGCATTCAATATTTTCATTCTTGTCTGCATATATATTTACACACACACACACACACATAGATATATATATATATATATATATATATATGATACACATATATAATACAGTTGCTCAGAAAATTGTCGAAATAAATAGAATAAGTTATCCTCGATTCAAATTTACTGACGTTTTAATAGGGTTTTTATGATATGTGTAATTAAACATAATAAAAGTTCAATTTTCAACATAGAACGCGTTTGAATCGAATAAAATCAAATCATTTTTTAGCAAAAGCAATTGCAAAAAGATTGGGATTTGCCATAAAACCATTTATCCAAAAAACCAATTTCATTTTAGCAGATATATAGTTCTTTTTTCCAAAATTCGGAAACTGTTTCGTCAGTATTATTCTTTTGAAAATTCCACTTTAGTTTTTCCTCAAAGTCAAATTGGTTTGACATAACTTTTTATCTTGTTTTGAAGATAAAGAAGTGTATAATTTAAGAAAGTATAATTAAAAGTTATGAAAATATTATCAAAAAATCAATAAAATTAACTGGAACAAAATTCATTCTTGTGAATGAGCAGTTTTATCGACCAGTTAATTACATAGCCTAATGATTAATCCTAATATTTGTAAACACAGGAATGGCTTGCGGCTGTTACTTTTGGGGTTGTTATGCCGGAATCAAAGGTAGAATAAAAACTTTGACGATCTCATTGTTTCTTCAAGGAACGTTTGAAATTTTCTGTAGCATCGTCCCACACTATGGATTCTTCTTATTATTTAAATTTCTCAGCGGATTTTCGTGAGTTCTCTAATTATTTCACTTTTAAGCAAGCATTTGATACAAGCTCTTTAAGAAAATCGAAACGGTCATTGTTATACTATACAACTATTCGCGATTGATAATTATCCGTTTGATATGTAAAAATGTCATTCTCAAATTGATTAGTTCCTTTTATTTGATTAAATAGTAAAAACGATGAAAATACTTATTAATGATTTTTAACTTCTTTTAATAGAAAAGTGCAAGCGTACAGTATTAGTTATATCTTTCAGGTTAAGCGGGCAAAGCGGGACGCTCTTTGTTTATTTAGGAGAATGTCAACCAACAAAATATAAAGAGACATTACTTTCTTGGTTGGAGATGGCATGGACATTAGGTCTTATGGTGGCACCACGTAAGAACGATTTCATTATTTTACTTTACGTATTCTTCAAAGTATATTTTATTGTCCAAATGATTTCATTACTTTTTAATCGCCATATAATTGACTGTCTAATGAACTTATTTAAATATGATTTTTATTAATTTCCAGTTATCGGTTGGATAATTATTCCATTAAAATTTGATTTCGATACGAAACCTTTTGTATTTCACTCTTGGAATCTATTCGTTTTAATATGTTCCCTTCCGTCATTAATTATCGGTTTTTGGTCGTTACATTTCATTGAAAGTCCCAAATTTCTTGCCGAAATTATGCAAATGTCGGAATTGGCCGTGGTACTTGGAAAAATATATTCCGAAAATACTGGTAATCCGGTGGAAAAATATTTCGTAAGTATTCATTATCGTGCGTATTCTTAATCGAAATTATATTCTAAGCAATGTGCTCGTGTCAAATTTGAACAGGAAATACTCGCTAAAAGTGAAAATCCTTTACATAAAACATTGAAAATCAATAATTATGAAAATTCGAACGAGGAAAGTAAAATGAATAATTTCCGTGCGATTGTGCATTCGATGTATACGCAAACGATATCTCTTTTTAAACCGCTGCACATTATGAGAAGTCTTAACGTATTCATTCTCATATGCTGTATTACGGCCTCGTACTACACGCTGATGCTTTGGTTTCCGGAATTGTTTCAAAGATTCGCCAAGTACGAAATAATGTATCCAGAAAAATTCGCTAACGTATGCAAGATATCGAAAATAAATCAACTTGGAAGCAATAATACATTGGCAAGTAAATGCGAATGATATGAATATAGATAAAGAAAATAGATGTAAGAGGTATCGTATTTATAACTGAAAAAAAAAAAAAAATTAAAACTCTCTTTACTTTATCTTATATTTCAGATGCTAAAACGTGACATATACGACTGCGAAAATAATATTCACGATAATGTCTTTTCCCATACATTTCTCTTAGGACTGGCTTGTATACCACTTAGTATTATTCTTCCGCTGACCGTTAAATACACGGGTTATAAAATTTATTTAAGTAAATATTCTCTTTTCCACTTCATTATATCGTTATATGCCTCTTGAAATATATTCAATTAATAAGAAACATTCTTATTTTGATATTTCAGTAATTTGCACATTCCTCTGTACTATAGTGACCATAGGCTTTTTCTTTATAAAATCATCGACACAAAATCTTATACTTTCTTGCATCTTTGAAGCGTTAATTTCTATATGCATGAGTATTATCTTCTGCATGATCGTCGACCTTTTTCCTACCAATATAAGGTATGCAAATGTTTAATAACAAATTTACATTTTTCAATTATAGGCATAATATAGACGAGGAAAAATCATGATGAATATAAAAACACAATTTCATATAATATTTTTTAAATGTCGCCCGCAGATGCATCCGCAGACTATTAATTTATTTAAATAAATTTTATTACTAAGTTGAAACTATTTTTTAGAATGATGGCAATTGCTCTAGCTGCATTTTGCGCACGTTTGGGATCGTTTGTAGGAAATTGGATATTTGGTTATTTAATAGACAATTATTGTTTTTCATTGATACTCATAGTAGCTACACAACTTTTCTGTACGTTTTATTCAACATTTCGTGTTATTATCTCCTTACAAAAGTGTATTTACGTTTTTCTAAATTTATCTATATTTTTTTTAGTAAGCTTTATACTCAGCTGTCTTACACCTGGAAGATTTGGACAAACAAAAGCAATCAAAAATACATAACTCCAAATATTTCGATAAAATGTATGTATCGAATCATATATATGTGTAAGATGAAGATGAATTTGTTAGACATATAATGTATGATATGAGATAATTTTATCTACCATTATAATTTTTGCATACTTATTTCCATTTAATGCTGCACATATATATATATATATATATATATATATATATATATATATATATTATTTTCATTAAATGTTCACTCTTTCCAGATACTCGAGATTATCAAATAAGAGTAATTAACTCGGCAAATGTTAATATGTACACACTAACTATATATATATATTGTAAATATATATATATATATATATATATATATATATGTGTGGTGATATTTCAGGCTATATTTAGGCTATATTGCCGACGAATGGTCGAAAATGTCACGTAACTGATGATGTCATTCTCTCTGAACAAACAAAACTTTACTCGTTATACGTAATCACAATTATTTGACCTTGCGACGGTATCGGAGAGTCTAATTTTGTTTTATCATCTCCCTTATTCATACTATATGTCTATCATATCCCTTAGTCATACTATATGCAGACTTTTTACAAGATGTGACAAATCAATTCATTCATTCTCTTCGTTGAACTTCTAAGATTCATTCTTTCACTCAATCGTTCAATTTCATTCAACTTCTTTTTATTTATTCGTCCTCACTTTTGTCAATGCTCCAATTGGAGTACCGAGAAGTTGTCGAATAGTATGTATTCTTTAATTAACATTATCCATTGTATATAAATACAGAAATGAGAGATAATTCGGTCGGACTTTGTGTGCTATTGGGTGAAATCAGAGCACTGGTGATCTTTTAAAAGTGTTCTCTTTCTATTCGTTTGGAAAGGTTTACGCTATGAATTCTCATGCGTAACAATTTTTGTCTGATTTTGGTGATGAAGGACTTATCCAAAATATAAAAGAAAAATTTTAATCTTTAAATTATTATCTTACTTGAACACCTCGTGAGATTTTTGAAAAGCATTATTTCCTTCGGTAAAATCATGTCTAAAAATAGTAATTTTCAACCCAAGTAAAAACTCGTTTGGAAAATCGGAAATAATGGTCTCATGTGGAAAATCTTTATCTTTCGAATGAAATCGATCAAAAACTTCATCAAAATCGGACAAAAGTCGCGACCAGGAGAATTGATGGCGTAAACCCTAGCAACACGCTACATGTATTTCATGCAAGTATCCTTGTACCGTAACATATCTTTGTATCCTATATGGATTTCATTCAAGCATGTTCGCATACATCTGATTTTTACTTTGAAGAATTGAATTGAAGCTATTAAGTTATAGATTTTAAACCTGCAATAAATATAATAATATGAATAAATTTAGTTAGACATATATCCTTGATTATAATCTATCATTATTCAAAATAACATAATTTAATAAACGTTATTTTCTTGTCACTTTCTTCTCCCCCTTTTAAAGCTAATGGATACATTTCTTTCGTTCTCTTGTTACTTCTTTTAGACCATTTTGGGCACAATTATTTTTTTATATTGTCTGCTATTTTTGACTTGGCGCTCATACATATTTCATTGTTATTACGAAATATGTTATTCGATTATTTAAATATACATAATGTTAAAATTTATTATTATCTCAAACGAATCCGCATGTTTTCGTTCATAAAAATAGAAACTTATTACTTGTTGTATAAATATGGGCACAACGATATCGTAACCGAATGTTGATAATTTGATATTAGGAACCAATGTGGACTTTTCTGACCCCACATATTAGTGAACCACGTTCATAAGATAACGAATAAACGTCGAATCATTGCCAAGTTTTTCAAATGTCCATAAGCATAATGATCATCTTAAATGCAAATTCGACGCGAATACTCGATAAATTGGAGATAAACGAGAGATCATTTAAAAAGAAATAAAACAAAATCCAATATAAGTGTAACAATTATTGCTAAATAAAGGAAAGAAATTACCAGAAAACAACTTTCATGCAAATACGGACGAGTGTAAATCATGCGCGTATTGCCAAAATCAAATCATTTTTTAGCAAAAGCAATTGCAAAAAGATTGGGATTTGCCATAAAACCATTTATTCAAAAAACCAATTTCATTTTAGCAGATATATAGTTCTTTTTACCAAAATTCGGAAACTGTTTCGTCAGTATTATTCTTTTGAAAATTCCACTTTAGTTTTTCCTCAAAGTCAAATTGGTTTGACATAACTTTTTATCTTGTTTTGAAGATAAAGAAGTGTATAATTTAAGAATGTATAATTAAAAGTTATGAAAATATTATCAAAAAATCAATAAAATTAACTGGAACAAAATTCATTCTTGTGAATGAGCAGTTTTATCGACCAGTTAATTACATAGCCTAATGATTAATCCTAATATTTGTAAACACAGGAATGGCTTGCGACTGTTACTCTTGGGGTTGTTATGTCGGACTCAAAGGTAGAATAAAAACTTTGACGATCTCATTGTTTCTTCAAGGAACGTTTGAAAATTACAAGCTTCTTAAGAAAATCGAAACGATCATCGTTATACTATATAACTATTCGCGATTGATAATTATCCGTTTGATATGTAAAAATGTCATTCTCAAATCGATTAGTTTCTTTTATTTGATTAAATAGTAAAAACAATGAAAATACTTATTAATGATTTTTAACTTCTTTTAATAGAAACGTGCAACCGTACGATAGTAGTTATAATCTTTCAGGTTAAGCGGTCAAAGCGGGACGCTCTTTGTTTATTTAGGAGAATGTCAACCAACAAAATATAAAGAGACATTACTTTTTTGGTTGGAGATAGCATGGACATTAAGTCTTACAGTGGCACCACGTAAAAACGATTTTATTATTTTACTTTATATATTCTTCAAAGTATTTTATTGTCCAAGTATTTCATTACTTTTTAATCGCCATATAACTGATTGTGTGAACTGACTGTCTTAATGAATTTATTTATATATGATTTTTATTAATTTCCAATTATCGGTTGGATAATTATTCCATTAAAATTTGATTTCAATACGAAATCTTTCGTATTTCACTCTTGGAATCTATTCGTTTTAATACGTTCCCCTTCCGTCATTAATTCTCTGTTTTTGAACGTTACATTTCACTGAAAGTCCCAAATTTCTTGCCGTAATTATGCAAATGTCGGAATTGGCCATGGTACTTGGAAAAATATATTCCGAAAATACTGATAATCCGATGGAAAAATATTTCGTAAGTATTCATTATCGTGTGCATTCTTAATCGAAATGTAATTCGAAGAAATGTGCTCGTGTCAAATTTGAACAGGAAATACTTGCTAAAAGTGAAAATCCTTTGCACAAAACATTGAAAATCAATAATTATGAAAATTCGAGCGAGAAAAGTAAAACGAAAAATTTCCGTGCATTTATCATTTAAATCACTGCATCTTACGTAAAAAGGGTCGATTGCTTTTAGATGAAGAAAGGTTAGATCGTACTATCCGTTTTTTATATGCAACAATGATAATAAGCATTAATGTTAAAAACGATGATACGATAGGATCGCAACAATTGAATACTCACCTGTATAATAAAACGGGAAATCTGTGCAATATTTTTAATTATTTTCTTTTATATTCCATCCGTGACATATTGTCTAACACCAATATTTAAAACATCTATATACCCTTGACGTCATATACTTAACCAATCGTCAAACAAGATTATTACGCAGGCGTTCACCGTTTCCTCCGCTATATGACGAGTAGATGTCGATACTGTTTTATTACTTTTGACACGAAAAGGTGTAATGTGATATTCTATCATTTGGAAATGTTTTTAGTAATATTTCATGTCTTGACATTAAACTTTGTATATATTGAATCTAGTTCCCATACAATATGAAATCGCAAGGTGATAGAGTATATTTTATAAGAAAACGATTGATGATTTACTTAGTAAATGTAATTCCATGTCACAGGATATCTGCCTAACCTCCTTTCGTTACATCGTTTTGATGTACGAGACACGTATATTTAATCAGCCAGTTTAATGGTCGAATTGTTTACTTTTTTACCGTGACCATCCTTCCTCTAACCTTAATATACATCTTTTTAATCTTATATATTAACAGAAGACGTTATTTTGAGGTTATAGCTCGACCACTGTTTTTAATTATATTGTTTGACACTTAATGAAAATCAAAGAACGTGGTTTTGGTAAAAATTGTAAAAGTCAACGTTACTTGAATAAACAGCACCATAGTGCTAAGACTTTTCCTCGAATTGAGCACCGTATGAAAATAGAAATATGTCTTTCCGTATGAGACTCGCTCGTAGTCGGCCGATTAGACTATTAGGTGGTATCGCCATAAAATGTTGGATATTTTCTGGAGCATACATTCTTACCTGTTTTTTATTATACTGGTTGTACGGTGGTATTTTTGCTTTCTTCCTCCTCTGTTTTGCTACTATAGGTTGGTTTCTATAAATGTTAATAATGATACAAACTAATTTTTATCTATTTAAAAAATTTTCTACATCTGTTAAATCATTCTTATAGGTATATTATATCATAGAGAAGATCAGCTGCTCTATCATCCTGAATCACCAGCTCATTCTCGTGTTTACGTTCCTGCTCCTTCTATATTCAATTTGCCTTATGAAAGCATATATACGCGTTCAGGCGATGGTACTATGCTACATATGTTTTTTATTTCTCAACCTGAAGATAGGGCGAAGATGGCCCCAACTTTACTTTTTCTTCATGGAAATGCTGGAAATATAGGACATAGGTCAGATCATTTAGAAAGAAAAATACTTTAATTGATCTTGAACATAGAAATTAGTCTATAATCTATATTGTAAGCAGACTTCAAAATGTTGTTGGTCTCTACCGTAATATTCAATGCAATATCCTAATGCTGGAATATAGAGGCTATGGATTGTCGCAAGGTTCACCATCTGAGGAAGGATTGTATATGGATGCTCGTGCAGGAATTGATTATTTAACTTCGAAAACCAATATCAATACCGATGAAATTATTGTCTTTGGTAGATCATTGGGTAAGTTGTATTTCTGATTTCATTGAAATAACAGTTAATAATAATGATCCTATTTTCTAAAGGCGGAGCAATAGCAATTGATTTAGCAACTAAGGAAGAAAATGCAAGAAGAATTTGGTGTCTTATACTTGAAAATACATTTACGAGTATACCTGATATGGCAGCATTTGTAGGATCAAGATTTTTTCAATATCTACCACTTTTTATATATAAAAATAAGGCATGTTTGTGTTAATTTCAAGATTTCAAGATTACTCCAAGAAGTATATCAGTCATTTTATGTATAATCATATATCTTCTTACACGATAATATTTTTTATTACTTTTCTTTCACCCTTTCTTCCTTCTTTTTTTTTTTGTTTTTGTTTTGTTCGTTCGTTTTTTTTTTCTTTTTTTTTCTCCCTCCTTTTTTTTCTTTTTTTTTTTTTTTTTTTTTTTTTTTTTTTTTTAATGGCATTGCTTGTTATTGTTGCAGTATTTATCTATTTTCAAAATACGATCGATGACAGTACCAACATTATTTATCTCTGGCTTAGCAGATACATTCGTGCCACCGCGAATGATGCAGGAACTTTTTAAAAATTGTAAAAGTCAATATAAGAAGATTCTACCAATTTCTGGTGGTACACATAATGAAACATGGTGTCAATCTGGATATTATGAAAATATATGTTCTTTTTTGAATGAACTGAGGGAAAATCCATCGATCCAAGTAACATCGGGTCACTGGCAAATAGATGATATTTAGAAATCAATATATAAATGAAATACATTTTGCGTCCAAATGTATAAATATATTCTGAAAAATGTCCAATACAATATTAATGTATTTAAAATAAATGAGATTGGTCCAATAACTTAAAATATATTATCTATTTCTACTGTCATCATTAATTCAATGACAAAAGTATCTTTTCATTGGAACATTTCTGAAGCAATTAATTGAACTTGTTTGTGCAATAATCTTTAACGTTAAGTAATCTTTTTTTTAAATGAAAACTTCTAACCAGGGATTTATTAAATTTAAATTATACAATTGTATCGTTTATAAATTAATATCTTTTTCTAATGTTTATTTAAAATCTTCTGTTTTTACGAGATCTTTCATTCTCTAACTTTTGAGTCAATAAAATTCCAATCACAAAGAGAACTATCAACAATATGATAGCAATCCCTAAGATTGCAAATAATTCAGGACTGGACTCAATCATTATTATTTTTCTTTCAGATACTGCCTCATATTTTTCTGATAAATTTGATAATAATTCAGACATGTCTTTGCAAAATATTTCTTTCTTCCATTTGTACCAATGTACCAGTCTTATATTCAATAGGTTTAGGGGCGTTGCGCATCTATTGACAGATAAAAAAAAATTTCAATTTCTTACAGTACAAGATATTATATATATATATACATGTAAAATCACATGACAAAATTCATATTAAATACCTTAAATTATTCAAAATACTTGGATTTATAACATAGAGCTGTGGTATTAGATCACTTAACATCCATTGTAAGGAACAATTGCATGCGAAGGGATTTCCTTGTAAATCAATCCCATTTTTCATTTTAAGAGAACCATCGGATAATAATAATAATTTAGGGGAAATGTAATTAATGTTATTGTTACTGAAATCTACCTAGAATAGGAAAAGAATTTTCTATTTATAATAGGAAATAATGTCAAGAATAAGGAAGGTAATATGTACTTACGAAACATGCATTCATATGATCCAAAGCTCTCTCATCAATGGTGATCAGTTTTTTATTGTTCGATATCGTAAGATTAATGCAATCATTTACGGGTGCTTCCAATTTTAAGAATGCATCATTATTAATCTTTTCAAGAAGTGTAATATAATTTGCAACGAATGAACGTAGTTTTAATTTAGAATGAAATGTTAAATCCTTAATTAGATTTCCACTGACGACAAGTGTACTCAATAATGGATAATTTTCTGATGATAAATATTTCGGGATATTAGAATAATTATTATTAGAAATATCTAATACTTTTAATCTCTGAAGTGTTATATTTGGAAATTTCGCCAATTTGTTACCACTTACATTCAAATATTCTAAAGAATGAAAAGAAGGTAAATTTGTTTCTAACCAAGAAATGTTATTGAATTCAATATTTAATTTTTGAATTTGAGATGGTTCATAAAGTAAGTTTACGATCTTGTTGTATTCAATGTGTAATTCAATTAAATTTTCTGGTAGTTCATTAAAGTTTAATGACGTAAGAAAATTATTATTTATCCTAAGTGTTCTTAAATTAGGAAGTTGCAAAAAAATATTTTCAGAAATTGACGTAATTTTATTAAATGACAAGTCTAAATGTTGTAATTGTAAGAATGATTTTAAAAATACATCATCAATAAAATGAATATCGTTATAAGAAAGATCAAGGGTAATTAAACTTATGACAGATTTCGAAATAGTCGTTGATTTAAGTATTTTGATGTAATTATGGCTCAAGTTTAATTTAGTAATTGTTGATATTTCATTAAATATAATATTGTCAAAGATTTTCAATTTATTCTTTGAATAATTTAACTCATCTAGATTATTGGATTCTGCTAATTCATTAATATATATTTCAGGCATTAAGTTTTCAGACAAATCTAATTTCTTTAAATGCTTCAGTTTTATAAATATACTTGGTGATATAAGCGTCAAATTATTCTTTGATAAAATTAATCCCTCTACATTTTGAAACTGATCTAGCATTAATGAGTTCAGTTGAATTCTGTTATCATTTGTAATTAATTTTTCATGGCAATTAATAATTATTCCTGTACCTGCAATATTTGCATTAAATTAGAATTATATCATATGCATAAAAAGTTTTACATACCTTTAACAGAACAGAAACATGTTGTACATATATCACTTTTACATTTATATATAATATTTAAACAAAGTAAAATAATAATCCAACTATTAAATAGAATGTTGTTCATAATTGAAGACATTTGATCATGTATCGACTCACTGTTACCTCCTTTTATATTACTCAACCAATGGTAACTTTGACACATTCACCATTCTATCTATGATAACATATCTGATAACATTTCCAGGTAAATGATTACATGCGTGTACGCATCAATGTCTTTAGATATAGTTTATAATTTTTAAATGAAACTCTCAAACTCACTAGAAATTTACAAATTAAAGAAAAAATCTTAACAGAAATCTGAAGAAGTTTCTTCCTTTATATTCATTATTGTAATATTAAAATAATTAACAGACTGCTCTTTTTCAAAATTATATTCATTAAATTGATGATGTGTTAATGTGATAGGAATCTGGTAGGAATGTGGTTTGGCAATTCTAATGTTAGAGAGAAAATGAGGAAAGGCAAATATTATTCACATATTATAATAATAATAATAATAATAATAATAATAATAATAATAATAATAATAATAATAATAATAATAATAATAATAAAATGGAGAGATAGCCGTTTTATTATAAGGAATAAATTAATAAAAAAATAACTTTTTTATATCTGTATTTAAACCTATTATATAAATTATGATCTTTTAAAGAAGCTAGTTAATGTAGTTTGTTTCTTCTTGGTTTGTACTTTAGCAACATCTACAGATACTTTCTTCTTCTTTGCTTCATCTTCTTCTTTTGCCATTGTCTCTGTCACATTTTCCGAACAATTTTCATATACGTGTACCTTTTTGGTTACAAGAAAACCATCTTCTTCGTAAGTTTGATCAACCACTTTAAGAATCCTTGCTTTACCATTGTTATCCATCATGCGAGGAGGAGAAGGGGATTTCTCTTTGTTATCTGAAATAATTTCCATCTCTTGTTCTGACTCTGACTCTGTAGACTTTACATGTTCATCGTCACTTTCAGAATCTATTAAATCATTATTCACGATTATACGTTTCCGTTTTTTAATTGTACTCTTAGATTCTTCGCTACGATTTCGTTTTATCCCACGTGTTTCGTTTTTTGATTTATCATTATTTTTAGTAGAAATAACTTGTGCCTTTGCAGCATTATTTTTTATATCATCTTTCGTACTATTATCTGCTTGTTCTTCTTTATCAGAATATTTTGTAACGTCTGAACTTTTTCCAAAAAAGCTGGCAATACCACTTTTCTCTTTTTTCTTAACAGAATTACTTTCCTTTGGAGATGAATTTTGTTTATCGATAGATTTCTTCTTAGGTGATGTTTCTTCATTGATACATGTAAATTTTGAAGCTGAAGAAATATCTTTTTCCTTATTATGAACCTTTCCAAAAAGATTATTAAAGCCAGTTTTCTGAGATACTGAAATAGTCTTCTTATCTCTATATTTTCTATTTGTCTGATTATGTTCATTTGTTTCAGAAATGTCTACTTCTTCAGATATCTTTATAGACTTTAACTTTTCATCATCCTGCTTTGGAATAGAATGATCTTTGAATAGCGATCCCCATCGTAAAATAGAGAGTTCTTCATCACTGCGTTCTACACTTTCATGACATTTAATAGCACCAAATCTAACATCTCCTTTATCATACATAAAAAGCGAGCCTAAGTCAGGTATAGATTTTTGTATACTGTATAAATGTTCCGATATTATATTATTAAATTTATCTTTTGCTGCATCTAAATTTGATTGTTTCACAACTTCTACACGCATTCCACCCGATTTTAAATTACCAATCAACATAACTGTAGACTCAATGTTATTTTCCTTTTGATGCCTCTGCCAGAATTCCCACAAAACTTGTTTTGCTACGTTTACATGGACCTCTAATTCTTTGCTTAACCATTTATATGTAACCTAAAAAACGATAATGTATAAACAAAACAAAAAAAAATTAATAACCGACACCGGGCTACTGCCAAGAGAAAATTTTTATAATTGAAAAATAATTGCGTATTTACCGCCTTATCATTGTCATAAACGTAGGTGGTCAAAATTTCTATATAATGATCCATTAATTCTACGTTCATGGTGAATCAGTTTATAAAATAAAATAAATAATAATTCGTGAAATATTTATTTCAATATGAATAAATGACGAAAACTACTAATAACTACTAGGATCATACAAATATACGCAGATATAAACCATATGTAAAGATCACTGTTACACTACCTAGCGGTTAAGTTTTAAACTAAACTACATTGGCATTATTCACAATGGAATACATAGTTTAGTTTAAAATTTAACCGCTAGAGAGCGCGTACAATAATACAACTTTGTGACGAATATTCTTGGTAATTATTTGAAATTACTGAACTGAGATCATTAAATTTCATGGAACATGAGACGTAAACGTAAGAAAATCGATCAATCTCATCGAATTCATTCGACTTCTCCGTAATCTCTCTACTTTTGTTTTGTGTAAAAGTTAATATCAAAAAGCCATTGAAAAATATCGTAAGGATAAAGTTATAAATTAGTTGATTATTTTCGTTTACATCGATGAAATAAAAAAAAAACCAACTGATCCTCATTTAGCCTTCTGGATTTCTGAATTACGAATTTAGGTGCCTGTCAATGTGCTATAGAATAAAAGGAATAATAAATTATTCCAAAATTTAACAATATCTTAAAGAAACTTAGATCCATTGACATGAAGGATTGGACACGTATTATTTTTGCCATATAATCATCTGTCCAAAGCTTATTAGAGTGACAGACATAGTAATTTGTAGTAATTTCTCCGTGGCGTGTGCATCGTGAAACGCATTTCCTTGCATTTGGAATGGTTCAGATTTTCTTTAAACTTCAAATTAACTGAAATTAGTTAATTTGCGGACACGTACAAGCAGGCAATCGTTTACCTCATAGAAACAAGAATACACCGTTCAAGCGTGATATGAAAATCAGTAATGGGCCGTGTACCAGCTTCTTCTCTTTTGTCGCAGATTTCAGGAGGCGCCACCATACGAAATTTTTTCCTCGTGAAAAATGTCGAAAGCAGCATTTATGCCACCAATGAAAATGGCCGTAATTTTTGACCGATTTTGATAAGTTCATTTTAAGTTCATTTTAAAGACGAACGTTTAATCTACTTTTCTCTGCTTTTCTCTGCTTTTCCAAATTTTTCGGAAAAATATTTCGAAATTCTTTTCTTTCCAAAGAAAATGAAACTTATTCAAAAATTCGAAAAGGCGCGGTCTTAGATTAAACCTTTGTCTTTAAAATCAGATCTTATTCATCAAAGAACGCCCGTTCTTATCGTTGACGTATAAAGCCAGGGGTGATGAACAATTTAACGATAAAGGAAGATTTAACGATATGCACATTTTGATATTTGAAAGTTTGTGAAGGAAACATGCATAGAACCGATAAAACGCTGTTAACTCGTGTCTAGCTTCAGTAGAAGGCAGGTCAGTCGCGTTTACGATTCCTTCTGATATTGATTACATTCAATTATATATATATATATATATATATGAGTGTGTGTATGCGTGCGTGCGTGCGTGTGTGTGTGTACATATCCTACTTGTATTTTTTATTTCCTCTTTTCCCTTTTATTTTCAAAACATAAATGATGGAACAATTACAAACAGCGTTAACAGCAATTAAGGTTTTACGTTCTAGCGTTGGACAAGTGTTTGATTCTCTTGCAAATGGATTACGAGCCGATCACGGAGAAGAAAATAAAGAAGCCAAATATTTACTAGAGTTACAAGAATTGTTGACAACAGTGAACGTAAATTTAAGGTATATAATTTAATCTCTTGATACTCATTATTTCATTGGGAAAGTAAGTATTATTTATGCAAATTTTGTCTATGTTAGAGATGTAGAACAAGCGGTAAACAGTTTAAATCCACCACCGGGTCCGTTTAATCTAGCAAGCACAACTTATCTTAGCCAAGAGACCACACAGGAAAGACAAGCACTTTATAGTTCTCTTGTTAATAGTTATAAGTGGACAGATAAAGTTCACGAGTATAGTAATGCTGCTCAAACATTATTAAATCAAAATTCATTAAAGAGATCTTATACAAATACAAGTAGAGCAAAGAGAGGTAGAGTTCAAACTAGTAATCACAATGTACCTCCACAGTAAGTCTTTTATAATAATTTGTATTATTAATTTTTTCTATTAAATTTTCTAATAAGATTTATAACTTAAGAGATATTTATATTTTATTTAAAGACAAGTAGACTCCATGATAGCTACTTTTGATCGATTGTTTAACGATATGACAGTATCTGTGTCCCGACCATTTGCATCAAATGCAGTATTACATGTTACATTGGGACATGTACTAAAGGCAGTAATAGCGTTTAAAGGCGTAATGATCGAATGGGTTGTTGTTAAGGGTTATGGAGAGAGAATGGATTTATGGACAGAATCAAGGCATAAAGTCTTTCGAAAAGTAACAGAAAATGCTCATGCTGCAATGTTACACTTTTATTCGCCTGCACTTCCTGAATTAGCCGTTCGATCATTTATGGTAGTATGAATATTTTATAAAATGAATTGTAATATTTGTCACAAGTAAAAGTATTAAAAAACAAATGTGAAGGAGCCTAACAAAATGACAAAGATGTATCTTTCATTATTTATGAGATTATGTATAACAATTCATTGCTCTTTTTTAGACTTGGTTTCATAGTTTAATCAATTTATTCAGCGAACCATGCAAACGTTGTGGTCTACATCTACACAGTGCTTTACCTCCAACATGGAGAGATTTTCGTACTTTGGAACCATATCATCAAGAATGTAAACCATAGAAATGCATAATCTCTCTCAAAGTATTTTTGATAAGTTTTTTTTTTTTTTTTTTTTTTTTTTTTTTTTTTTTATAAGAGAAACATATTTACTATAGCCAATAGGCTATAGAGTAAGAATATTTTGAATAATTTACAAATCTTTAATTTTTTAATACAAATGCTTCATAAAGAAGCAAAAAGATTCACTAACCGTTTGTGTTTTGAGTACATGTGCCTGTATTACGTATTATTATTAAATAAATATAAATGTTTTCAAAGAAATATTACTGTCTATTAATTTTTCTAATTATAACTATAATGTTACACGTTTAAAAAGTAATTAATTGGTTCTATCCTTGTAAATTTCATATATTTAAATATATTTATTAATAAAATCTGAGAATATCGTCTTATCCCTTGTAAAATGTGTGTATATTCTATGGGAGGTAATCGCAGTGTAAGAGAAGAGAGGTAATATATTTCAAAACCTGGAATATATATGCTTCAAACGCTTCTTCTATCTATTATAGTCTTAATACAATAAAGGTATAAATGAAACATTTTTCACAGAGAATAATATAGGGCATTTATAAAAAGAACTTAATTGTACAATACTTAACAAATGTAGAATTTGAAATTGTAAAAAAAGAATAACATTGCAAAATGGATGTGCATTTAATTTGCAATTTGAATCGATAATGCGATCGTCATTCAGTTTTAATTAAAGCCATATGAAAGAGCAAAATATGAATTATCGTCCTTCCAGATTAAAAGAACTTTATCAAAAGAAGATAAAGATACTATTGACAGACAGATTGGAATTGGAACTTGGCATTTTTTAGCGGATAAACACGGCTGTACTAACTTTTAATTATAATATACAAATGAGCAGGCATAAATGTTGTTTTTGTTTTCGAATATAATAGCTCTGCATTCAGTGATTTCCTTTTGCATATCCTATGTATGTATACCACTCTTAATGTATGTATACGCTAGGTAGTTTTATTATATAATACTAATTAGTATCATATGTAAATATAAGTATTTTTCACACAACTGTACACATTCACATTTGGAATATTGGCACTCTGTTAAGAGTGCAAGTCGTTAAAGTGGCAGTGATCTATTTTACAAATCTTTATTGTGATCGCTCACTTTGCTGGACTCTTGCAAGTTTTTCATTGTAAGGCTCTATGTACGTTGCAATATTCAATGAGCACAATACGCATCATTGACTCGAAACTATTTATGCGATCGTTCTACCTCGTCTATCGTGTTATCGAATACGTTAGAAGTGCGCAATATATTAATTCATTCGCTAAAAACGAATATGAACGAATTTAATCGTTACCACGTATAAATGTGTATCACTTATCGATCATCAAACTTTTCGATTATGCGAAAGATTAAGTGCGTTACACGTTTACGTAGATTTAAAGCAATATTTCTTTTTCTTCTTCGTCTCAATGTGTGCGCGCATGTGTGTAGACCGTATTTGTGTAGACTGTTACCATTTGTATACGTGCAATTTTTAATTTTATATTTCTTATAATTTCAGTGCGATCTTAAATCAAAGTGAAATATATTACGACAATGAACACTCAACGATATTTCGCGATGAACACATAACGCGGCATGCCTTTTCTCAGTAAGTGGAAAGATTCAAAAAGAGATCCAAATGTACGTTTTGTCTTGAACAAAAATATACTTTTAATTTACTTTAAATATACTTCCAAAGTATATCCTTTTTTTAATCATTTTCTTCGACAAATCTTCCTTAAGACATGTAAGAGGAATCCTCTAATTAACTTTGTTAATGTATCTTTGAATGATGTATTTACGCGTCATAAAAGTTATCGATGTTAATTATTTTCAATGATTCAAAAGATGAAAACCAAACTCTTTAAAAAAAAAAAGTATCGACTTTACGATCGAAGACGCATATCTAGTTTGAGTCAAAGCAATTGCAACTATAATATATATGTCCTTTACAGGGTCGTCATCATCGTGTGTTTGTCCTGTGTGTACTTATGTATGTGTTATATATATATATGTGTGTGTGTGTGTGCGCGTGTGCGTGTGCGTGCGTGTATACACACTACATACATACATACATACACATATGTATATATATATTATTTGTTTATAAGCTTGTAATGATTTAAAAAATGGATATGCTAGCAATACTCGGTCCGTAATTATTGTACAGCCATTAGATGTAAGTAAAAAGACGTACAATTTCGTCCGTCTGACACACGTTTTTTTCCCTTACGACTCTTTAAATTTGTTCTTCGATCATTTATTTTATTAATTTGATACGTAACACTACTAACTACTTAATTACTAATAACCTTTATACGTGTATATGCACCTAGCCTAAATATTGTTAAATTTGATAATATCAATAATGTTGAATTTGATAACACCATCGCGCGTAAATGCAAGGAAATCTACTTTAGCGTTTATCTTCGGTTCACTTGATTTTTTATTGCCTTTCTTATTGATTTCTTTATGTCGTGGACAGCTTAGGATTAAAAGTATTTTCTTTATTTTCTTTTTTTTCGTTCTCTTTATCTTTATCATTATCTTTTTTACATTACATCTTGCAGTGCACTGTCCGAAGTTTCATTGTGTTCATTGAGTTTTTCTTGAGTGTCTATTCTAAAACACCATATTGCATTTATGCCGTTACATTTCAAAGAGTTCGTTCAACATACGAATACGTTCATTCTCTTACTTCGATTACTATAGGAAAGATTTGTTTCATAAAGATTTCGTAAAGTTCAAGTAGTTCAAAAGAATCTGTCTTATTCCTTTTTCCGACCTATGTACATATATATGTACGTATGCATATGATTAAGCATTCAAGAGCATTTTTTAAAGAACAAAAGAAGAGTAAATTCGTAAATGTTTTCCCTCTCTCTTTCTTACAAGGAAAAGTCTAATAGTATACGGATATTAAACTGTTGGAATATCTTCTTCTTTATGATTATTACATGCGAATCCCTTCTTTTGTAAAATAATGATCGTCAATCAAATCTTTAACGATAATGATAAACAGTTTTAATCGAGGCATTTCAAATAAAAACTGTGTCAATTCTGTGCAGTACCGTTTAAATATATTACTGTTGTTAATTGTTTCTCCTTTTGACAAAGCTTGTATATGATAATTTAACGGAGAAAACGGGCGTGTATCGTTGCGAAAGACGATATTATTATACATTTACTTCTCTAATTTAATATATAATATGATAGGTATAGTCAAAGTATACAAGTATATACATATTATGTACACGTAAATGCAGAAAGATTTTCTTTCCTTTTAACTTTTTCTTCTTTTACTCTTTTTTTTCTTTTTTCTTTTTTTTATTTTTACACGAAAAATCGAACGGTCATAAGTTTCGATTAGGTTAGAAAGTTCGATGATTGAGTTTAAATAAGAAAAAGCATGCCTTGCTCGCTATCGCGTTTCGATCTTTTTATATTTCTTTGAAGAGGCATCAGCTTCTAAGAAATGTTCAAAATAAATTGTCTATAAGCGGGTACCATTTTTTTTCTTTTTTCTTTTTTTCTTTTTTTTTTTTTTTTTTTTTTTTTTTTTTTTTTTTTTTTTTTTTTTTTTTTTTTATTAATCTTGCGCACGACGCGCGCCACTTTTATGCTTCTAACTTATGGATTTTCGTATTATTTTCTCAAATACAAAGTTTTTATATATAATTTCCGATGTTCTTTAATTAAAAAAAAGAAGTACATTTCATTATATTTTTAACATTGAAATATTTTTGGGGCAAAAATGGTCACGTTCTAATTATAAAATATTTCGTCGCGTTAACGTTAATCAATTAACGCGACCCGCGTTTTTAACGGCGATCACGCCATCTCTCATATGCGAATGAAACTAATTTTCAAAAGGATCGTAGAAATGTAGCGCGCGTCTAATTTTGCAAATTTTGTTTCGATAAGAAGGAATATAATCGTACTTTAGCTCGTAAAAGATTTTTCGTTGCACGATCGATCGCTGTTTTGCGATCGCTAGAAAAGAATCAATATCTTTCGTGAATATATCAGGAACGATCATAAATCATACGAACGATATTTCTTCTTTCTCGAAAGCGATGAAAATGATGATGGAAAAAGCTTTACATTTGTCAAAAATTACTTCGAAATCAACGATACAAAAGTGAATTAGATGAGGTATTATGCGTTTATTTGAAACGGTGAACGATCGAGGAGAGGGACGATACATATGAGAAATATGGAAAAAAGAAAAGTGAGGGGGTAGGGGGAGATAGGGAGAGGGAATTTCTCCCGCGCTTTTTTCGAAATTTAAATTGTCTTTCGATACCTTGCACTATAACGCATTACTCTATTGCGGGTTTTCGAATATCCTCTCTTTCTCCTCCTCCTCCTCCTCCTCCTCCTCTCGAATATGTCACGTCTTAGGCACAAATCACTTTTTTCGCAGCTCTTTTTAACGAAACTAAACTCGCTCTCTCTCTCTCTCTGTTTCTTTTTTTTTTCTTTGACATTCGTTCATCCGTGGGTATCTTTTCATCGAGAGTTCTCTAAATTTATTCGCGTTTATCCATCGTCGGTATAATTATTTCTCTCTCTCTCTCTCTCTCTCTCTCCCTCTCTCTCTCTCTCTCTCTCTCTCTCTCTCTCTCTCTCTCTATCTATCTATCTATCTATCTATCTATCTCTCTAGGATTCTTCGTAGGTCCTGGCGCGCTCCAAGTTTTCGACGTAGCTCCATCCGAAGTTCGTTGCATTTGCAGCGCGACGTAAGCTGTTCCTCAGAAAGACCGCACAAGCTTTGCTACTTTCCGTGATAATCTCGTAGAGCTGACTTTCCAGGTTGAGACTGTTCGTGGTGAGTAGCAATGGTAGTGGAATAGGAGTGTTCATGATCATCAGATTACCAATATTAAGAGGAGTTATTTCCCATTGTCAGACACCGCTGTTCGGAAAGCGTGGCGGGGGAAGCGGGGGCGGTGGCCTCTCCGGTTGAGCGGGAGCGACGGAAGATCGCTCGGATCCAGCTGCAAACACAACTGCAGAATCATATTAATCAGATGTCAATTTCTTTTTCAGGTACCTTGCGAGCTTAACTACTTCAATTTTGGATTTTTATTAGGACCTCCCAATTCACTAATATTATCGATTGCAAGCGTCTAGGAATTGATACAACGATAAAGCCAAGTATGTATTCTTTGTCCTCTGCACCTTTTTTTACTAGAGTTACTTAATAGATTTCCTTAATAAATTTAATACTTTATATATATATATATATATATAATATATGTATATAAGTATTATCCATATATATATATATATATATATATATATATATATATATGGATATCAGCCATTAACCAACCAAATTCTTGTATATACCCATATGATGAACTATATTATTATCCATCAAAATAGTTTGATTAGTTTACATGTTTACTTGTAATGTTTCTTGTTATATCAAAAGATTTTCCTTTACACATATACCATACAATCCACAAGCAAAGTAAACTATATTCTTGTTAAATTAGTTCTACTTTTATGACATCATGCAATTGAAGCACATTTAAGTAAAATTAGAAAAGAGAAAACAGATATTACAGCTTTGTATTGATGTTTTATAAATGATTATTCCATTAGAATCGTAGTAAGCTTTTGTTTCTCCAGATGAATATTATCATTAGTAAAGTTAGAAGAAGTGATATTGATAGAGATAGCATTTACGGATAGTTATGCCGTTACTTTTCGCAGAATTTTTCTTTACCTACTGTAAAAATAAGACGTTATTACAATATGTAATTTGTTTTATGTAATGATCTAAATTTATATGTCGTGTAAAATATGACTAAAATACCAGGGGGATCGTTGTCACACAAGTTTTTCTTTGTAGTTCCAAACAATATAAATTATATCCATGCGTACATGCTCGATACGTCGTTCATGCTCCAACTGTAATCAACGTTATGATTTGGAGGTATAATTTATTAGTAAATGTTGTGTACTTGGATATATATATAGACCTTATCCACATCCAAATACGTACTATCCCCTTCTTTGCCTTCAGTTCTGTGGACTCTAAATATGAAAATTTATCTCAATGATGTCCATAGTGAGTTATTCCCGCTTAAACTACTACAAAGGCCAGTGTTAGTAGCGCATAATTTGCTACTAGAGTGAAGATAAAGCAAATACTAGTGACCATTGAATTTCATTTTATAAAAATAAGTAATATTGCCTAATTTTCAAGTGTAGTTAGACAATAGTAAAAAACTGCCTTACTACATACAAATGACATTAAAGAGACACGCACGCACACGCACACATATACATAATTCAATATTAACAATTCTATGATCATGTGGCTACGAATATTTGCGAATGTAACACATAAGCATAGAATTTAAAATATTGAATTAATAATTACTCTTGTAAATATGATATGATCTGAGGTTATTGTTATAACAATTTACAATAATTATGATCTGAGGTTATTGTTAAAAAAAAAAGTGTTGTAATTATTCCAACAGATATGCAATCTGAAAGAATTAATCTCCTATCGTTCAATGAAGAAATCTATATTCAATTATGATTTTAATTTTGTTTATCTCAATAACCTCAGATTTTTATCATGAAACATAATTCTATTGAGACATTCAGTTATATAGAGTCGTGCAGAAGTTAGTTTAAAACATTTATACGAAAGAGAATTTTTAAATGCATTGTACTAATCTTTACAAAGCAGTAGCTATTTCACAGTTAGTAGAAATTTTTCTATTGTTATTGTACATACATTATTACGTTATCAGAAGTACAAGCTTTATAAAATGATAACAAAATTAGAGAATTTTAATTTTCAAACAAAGAATGTCAATTGAGTACTCTAAAATGTAATTTGTAAGAAGAATAAGTTATAATTAATATTTTGATAATTGAAATGTAACTGTAACATTACTGTAAAAAACATATTTTTCTGTAAATTCATTTAGTTAATAATTTATTTTTTTGACATTTATCATATATGTATATATATATATATATATATATATATATATATATATATATATATATATATATACATATATATATACTCCCCCTTTACAGGGAGAAAGTTATTTAATTAATAGTCGAAAACATTTAGAGATAAAAGTCTACATTTCTAATCCTTTATAATATGTATATACATATATATATATATATATGACAATATCAGCAATCACTTAATAATGTACATGATATTGTTTATTGTTTCTTGCTAAAGGGCTATTGCCAATGTGAAAGGTGTGTTGAATATGAAACTTCTGCTCTCTGCCAGAATTAATAGTACATCTTGTAGTAGCGAAGCGGTAATAATATTTTATTTTTCATATAATCAGCATTTTTCTCTTCTGTACTTTTGTATCATACTGAAAGCAGAAAAATAATGTTGGCAAATAAATTGAAAATGAATGGTTAGCAATATAACTGCAAATAAAAGAATGTACAAAGATACATAGATGGTACAAGACATGCAGAATGATAAATAGATTACGAACAATGTACACGAGTACCAAACAATTCCTATGTATTACTATGTAGTTTAGATTATTAAAACTACACAAAGATTTTAATTAGCTTTTCGAAATTAATAATAAGTTTTATTTTAATATGATATAAAGAAAGACATTAATATGTATTTAAAAAGCTTTTGAAGTGTTGTATTTTATTACACTATTACATAACAGTAATTTATTCAATTTATTTCTATATTATTGAAATCACAGTTTAAAGAATTGTTTGTCTCGTTAATAGAAAGAAAATGATTGCAATGATTATGTTTGCAGGGTGATTTATGTTTGTCAAGGTTTTTAAGCCTTACATGAATCTGGATGTGGCTTCTCTTCTGCCACCATCAGGGCTGCACTCTCTGCTGGCGGTATGTGTCCCTCTAATGCATTCACACAGTTTAGCATGCTCCTGTAAAACATCACGCGACTTGTCCAAGTTTCCACGTCTTCACACATTTCTATTGATTCTTTTCCACTTTTAGTTATATTCCAGATCTTCTTTGAAGGCATCGATTTAACATGCACTGATGGGATAGAATCAAGAAGTGCTAATACCTCAAATTTAACTTATCAGTACGAATCTTGAATTTTTACTATTTTAAAAATATAGTTTTCCTCTAATATACATGTATACATATATATATAGATAGATATACATATATATGTTTATATATGTAGTCCTGTTTCTATTGATAGTTTTTGTACAATTTAAGATCTATTATCTTTTCATAGTTTTATCTTTTAATTATAAATTATCACATCACTAACAATTATTTTCATAAATTTACTTTACGAAAGTAAAGTAGTTTTTAAACGAAAATTAATGGATAGGAATTATTATATATTATATTATTTTGTATGGGCTACAAATTATATCATCCTTCTTTAGAATTTATATATATATACTTGATATGAAGTAATAATGCATTTCACAGTTTCGAGCCTTGTAATATGACAGCGTTTCACTGGCCTGTGTAGTAGACTTGAAATACGAACAAATGCAATTTAAACATTTTCAGAATTTGTATTAATTTGTATTAATAAAAAATAAAAATTTTCTTCGTTATTAGATTAATTTAATTGCTCAGCTATTAAATATTTGAATTAGTAAGTTAGTTATATGTTTATATATCTTAGACAAATAAATAGTTGTTAGTATTATGGATGTATTAATATTATTAATAATAATTTCTGAAATGTTTTTTTGACATGATACATTAGAAGGCAAAAAATTTGAATTTATATAACTTAATAAATGACCATAAATCTTCAATATTAATTATTATTCTTATAAAACGTAATTAAGGTATACTCAATACTTTAAATTAGCAAAAGTAAATCATATTATAATAAATAGAACTAAATAATGTATATAAATCAAAAAATGAAATTGATAAGAAAATAAAGAAAAATGTTTATTTAAAGAATACCAAGTATATGGTACTTTTTACTGGTGATGCCGAAATATTCATTGTATAGTATTATGTATAGCAGTAATGAGCGTCCAAAAATTTAGTTATAGTGTATATTGACTTATACAATTTTTCCCCATTATTAGATCACGCTATACTTTATAACATGTTTGACAACAATAGCTTGGTAATATTTCCGACTCTGTATGAGAATCTATAACAATTTTCGGATGAATGGTAGTCAATTGCCGATAAAATCATTTTCATAATAAGTTTATGGTTTATCAGTTGCGTGGGTATGGTTGGCAGTGGTGGCGTCAGATAGGACGGTCTCCTTGCTAGAGTTAGTGGCGAGCTCCTCTTCCCTGCAATACAATAATGTTACATGGCCATCGAGCCTGAAATCACTTACTTTCTGTTTTGAGAAAAATCCTAGTTTGTATCGCACGTGTTATAAGCTTGTATGCTAAAGACGGATGTTTATATGATACTACAAGAATTTTCATCCTACTTAAATATGTGAACTTATTCATGTAATCGTCTAACTTCCTCATAATTAATATATCCTATTAGAATCAAGGAAATACCTATTCTAAGTAGATAAATGTTATTTAAAAATGCGATACTAGAAGAAATTTCATATTATAACACAAATTATTATTCACGAATATCGACTATATCCTTCGCGGTGTAAAATGAATAATTCAACTGTTGAGCATTGTCATGAGAAACGTGATTCAGTTGTTAACAATCTTTCTTGTACAATAATAAAATGTATTTGTTGTTTGTGTACAGTAGTATGTGAATAGAAATTTTAATAATGATTTGTCGTATATAATTATCTTTTTAAAGTATTTTCTATATTATTTTCATTTAATTCATATAAATATTTGTGCGATTCTATATATCATACAGAAATCAAACAACAAATTTAGTACACATATATATACATATGTATATATATACACACATATATATATATATATATTTTTTTTTTCATTGTTATCGATGTGAATATTTTATGAAAACTTTAATTAAAGGATATATTCAATAATAATTAATATGAACAACGGCATATGCAAAAGTGTTTGTTTGTTTTTCTGATAATTTCACATGAAATGTATGATAGTAAATGCTTTTGTAGTAGTCTTAACGGGATTTATTAACGATTGTAATATCATTATGAAGAATAAGTTTGTATATATATATATAATGTAGAAGTTATATTAAATTATAAATAAAGGGCCGGCCATTGATTATAATTCATTCGCGAAGAAGCATGTAATAATGATTCTTTGAATGTTTCGGCAAAACCTAGCTTTGATAAAATTTGAATTAAAAAATAAAAAAGAAAAAATGAAGCTTAGATTGCGAGTTTATTAAGAGCTGCACTGATGAAACAAACGTAATGGGCATAAAACAATTATATAATTTGGCTCTAATTTTAACAGAAAAGAGAATATATATAAAAATTATGCAAAGCAGCTTTTATTGCACTTGTCTATCAAATAAAATGTCTATTATATATATATATATATATATATATATATATATATATATATATATATCATATATCATATATAATTGTTTATACGCCAAACAGTAATGAAAGCACTAACATGCAATCGTACAGTACAGCGTCATAAACTCGTGCCAGCTATTGACATGGAATTATTTCAAGACTTATCTGTCATTGAACATTTATTGGGTATTATAGGCTAAAAATAGAGCATGCTGAAAATACAAGGCTTCAGAACTTTAAGTAATCGGGGCTGTTATGTATAGATAACGCTGTATACTTTGATAGATCTCTCCATAATAATCTATTTATCAATAAGAATGACATAATAGCCCTGAAGAACTTAGTAGAAACTGTGAAATGTATCTTCACAAAGAGGAATAAAAAATTACAGTTCATTATAATAAGTTGTCATGCAACTATATTTTCCTTTTTCTCAGCCTGACTGATGTTCCATGAAAATGGAATTTTGCATCCATTGATAGTAAATAGAGGTAATTCAACATGCCAGGCTCTGATTACGTCAAAATTTAATACTAATTCGGCAAAACTAAGATTATTTCTTAAGCACTCTATTATCTAAAATATTTAATTTATTACGACATTTTATATAAAGTGTGCAATAATTTTGGATTGTATTGTATAGTAGTATTCGTCCTAAAATATTATAAGAAATAATCTCTTATTTTATAAGTGGTGGTGGTGGTGTCTTTGATATTTTATATATTCATGCAATTAAATCGCTCAGATAAACCTGTATGATATAATATGTCACCACACATTAATGAATAATTTACATTAAAACTCACCCGTAAAGTCTGCTGTCTCGCAAGCTGCTCCTGCTCCAAATAACATAGAAAAAAATGTTACAATGGGTAACATATACAATTATTATTATGAAATACATATTTTAATCAAACAATAATTACAAGAATTATCAAGTAACAATTTATTCAAATATCTATATACAACATACTAACAAATAAATATGCCGTTTGTTTAGAGCTTAGAAAAATAAGAATGAAGAATCCTAAAAGTTTTAAGTCAAACGTATATTGAAGTAATTAGCATATATATTTTACAAAATTAATATTTGCGTTATTTATATAAGCAAAAAAATTAAATTACAGTATAAAATAAAAACACTTGCTTTTCAACATGCGGATTTATAATATTCATATTGGGTACACAATTCTTGACTTATTTTTCTTTTAATATTTTCTTTCCTTTCTTTTTTTCTAATATTCCATTGGATATAACTAAAATAATAACTTTAAGAACAAATACAATTAAAACAAATTTTCTTGTATAAACTAAACTTTGTATATGTGTTATACAAAGTCGTGCAAATGTATTTAGAATCTCCATCTTAACGGAAAAATTATAATATGTGAATGTAAATACATTTTTTAAATTCTATATACTTCACAACTTAGCAACTACATTTTAGCGATGTACTTAGAAGCCAATGACCTACAGCTGTGTAAACATAAAAAGAATCAATTGTAATTTCTACATATATTTTGTACAAATTGTAGCCTATTAATATCTCATATTTTGACAAATAACAAAGATTTCATGCAGTTTTAATATAATATTTTAATGGTGCAAAACAATTAGATAACAATGAAAAAGAAATTAACATACTTAAAAAATTAACGAAATAAAGAATTTGTTTGAGAATTACAAATTTATGTTATTTTAATTAATTTTAATTATAAATATATACAAATAGAATTATAAACAAAAAAATATTCCCACACAATAATAAATATTTCTTACAAATCAGATTTCTTTATCACAGTTGAACTGGTATACGTGTAAAATAAAAAATGCTTCTTTCTTCCTCTTTCTTCCTCTCTCTCTCTCTCTCTCCCTCTCTCTCTCTCTCTCTCTCTCTCTCTCTTTCTCTCTCCCTTCATGCAAGTTTTTTTGTGTGGTATTATTTTTCATTGCAATAATAAAGTAATCATTTCCAATATTCAAACTTTGTTTCGAAGTTTGTATCACATACATTGAATGTTCTAGAATTATTTATAAATGTATTTATGGACGGATATATGGACGGTTTTTAAATAGTATCGAGATATATGATACTGCACATATGTATCTTGGATGTATCTTTCTTATAATTAAATATTTCTAGAAAATTCAATGTTCGTGGAAAATTCGTTAATTTTAATTTTTATATTTGTTGAAACTAATTGGAAATAAAAATATCTTGCGTCAAATAATATGCTGATAAGTAAATATATAGAGCCTATATGTAAATGTGTATATGTTTGCCTGAATGTACGAAATATCAAAATGACGCGAAACATAAAAACATTATTTATCTAATGATTTACTACTATAAATTTCATGAACTTGCCCTTGAGCGTACCTGTCGTTACCATGTCTGAATAAAGCTAGAATCTCTTCAAAGGTTTTATTTTTGGTCTCAGGAACCTTCTTGTAAGTGAAGATCCAGAAGATGGCTAGGAATGCACTGAACGGTAGGAACGTGTAGTTTTCAAGGCTAGACTGTAACACATTATGAATGAATATAAGTAAATATATTATAAAAACAAGAAGAACGTGCGTGTATGTGATTAAAAAATATTTAATCTTGTATTAATATACAGATTACCTTCATGCTTGGAAAACCAATGCCAACCAAAAAATTAGCCATCCAATTGACAAGAACTGCAATGGACATAGCAGCAGGTCTAGGGCCTTGCGAAAACAACTCTGCTGTAATCATCCAAGGAATAGATCCAGGCCCCACAGCAAAAAATACCACGAAACTAAGCGTCGATACAACCGATAGATAGGACATCCAGTCAATCATTTCCTGTACGTAACCAAAAAACTCCTATCAGGCAGTAGAATCAAGTTCTTCTTTCCTGAGCAGCTGGAGGAGCCTCAGGATAACGAAAAATATAGGTAATTATAAACTTAGAAAAAAATCTCATGCAGTGCACAGCCCAATCCTGTGTAAGGTGTTATCGTGATTATCATGAAATATTTTATAGTGAATGTGCTTCATTATTTATAATACATTTTTTTTTAAGCAGCAAAGCATAATTTGCTATATTGAGATAAGGAGTGCCAGGATGATAAGACCTCAATTTAATGTGATTTAGAATGAAAGATAGAATATGATGCACTTGATAAATATGATATTGTATTCTAAAAAATGTTTACATACATATATATGTATGTATATATATATATATGTATATATATATATATATATATATATATATATGTCTATATGTCTACTATATGTATACTATATACATACATGTTATGCGTCAAGTTTACCAATAGAGTTTTCTTTGCAGGACATGAGAAATGTTGGTGCCTGTATTTTTAATGTGCTTAATATAGAGTCAAAATCCTGGTCATTTCTGTAGCGTTAATGAATGATCGAATAGAAAAGTTGCGATTTATGCATACATATTCTCAAGATAAATATAATATAAAAACACGAACAACAGGGTTGAGCAAAAAACAACGTAGGTTGGTAATAGAAAGTGAATATCTCCTCCAGACTGTCACGAAAGAGGTCATTAGTGGATGAAAGGGAGGGTTTTGGATTATAAAAAGCATTACTAATATTAAAGGAAATAAAATCAAATAAAATGAAATAATGAGTGCTATACTAAACACTTGACAAACTTTTTCACACATTTCCTTTTGTGTGTGTGTATGTGTGTGTATGTTGTTTTTGATATAACTATATTCGGATATATCTTTGGATAAGATGAAATAATATTTCATTAATTCGCAAATTTTATTGATAGGAAATGTATCATTATTCACATTTATGATCAAAGTATTATTGTATGAAAAAGGAGCAGTGTCGTTAAACGAAATAAATATTTTTAAAGCGCAAATAAAGAATAACATGCAGGAATGTGGATACTTATAAGTTATATGAATGGTTGGGAGGAAATTAAAATGAATCCTTTAAGTGATGCAGATTTATATAAGTATAATAGCGATAGTTCTCACTGTTGGTGCAGTGCTGCACTCCAGCTGTGAACAAAGTGTTAAGTACACCCTTTTCAAAGGTATACAGAAGTGAAAAAGCACAAAAAGATAGCTATGTACAATTCACATTTGTTCGTGATATTGGTTTATCTCATAGTACTTCATGATGTATGACTATTAAAAATGATTTTAAGAGAATTTCATTTCATTATCGCAAAGAGAAATTAATTGTTTACTTTATACCCATAAATAATGGGAACTTATGTCTACCTTATAAACATGTACCCCAAGAAATCTCCAAATCATTTCCTCGAGTTTTTTTAACATAAACTATATACTTTTTAATTTGGACCGAAAGACGAAATAAAAGTTATTGCTCACCTTTATTAGAAACGAAATTGTGATGAATATTGAAAAGATAAACATGCCACCAAGACCATACAAATGTAAGGTACGCCTTCCTGTCCTATCCATAAGTGGGATCGAAACTAGCGTCATACCAACCATAATGGCACCTATGCCTATGGTTGCAAATTTAGCACTTTCCTCTGTTAAACCTGAACTGGTGAACAAACTCGTAGAATAGTAAAATACCTGAAAAATCATTCGATTGTACCTTTTATTATTGATATACAATTATTAAAATTGCATTACGTTTATAGGTTGACATCTACTCACGGCATTAATACCAGATAGCTGTTGCGAGAGTTGCATGACCACACCAATTACAAGAGGTGCTCTTAACGTTGGACTACATATAAGCTCTGTCATAGAGATCGTGGATTCAGCTTGTTGAGCTCTTTCCTCTGCTCTCATCTCTTCGATATCTTCCTCTACCTGATTGCTAGCTCTTAATCTTCTTAAAGCTTTTCGTGCTTCTTCCTCCCATTGTTTAGTAATAAGCAAGTATCTAAAAATCGATCGTTTTGAAAATGTACGCGATAAGGATATCTAATATAACTTTTAATATTTGTTACAAAGTATCATACCTCGGAGATTCGGGACATATTGGAAGCAATAATAGTTGTAGAATGGCAGGACAGATAGCTAATCCTAAGAGAACAGGCCAACCCTCGTTTGTCCCAAGGATTTGCTCGATGCCCAGCACCTGGGAGACCAGGAGGCCCACCGTAACAGCGAGCTGGTTCACCGTGCCTAGGCCACCTCTTAGGTTCAGTGGTGCTATCTCCGATATGTACATGGGAACCAATGAGGTATTTAAGCCACAATTGACACCGATGATGAACCGTCCAAAGAACAACATTTCGTAAGAGTGAGCAATCTTTGTACAACCCATCAGGCATGCCCCCACGATGCCCAGCACGTTGTTTAGCAGTAAGCCCCCCTTTCTGTGGTCGTGGGATATAAGAAGAAGAAGAAGAAGAAGAAGAAGAAGAAGAAGAAGACAAAGAAAAGGTCGGGAACAAAAAAAAAATATTTTTCATATTAAAGTTAATGATTTGTCAGATTTAGTAAGATTATCGATCTCTCTCTCTCTCTCTCTCTCTCTCTCTCTCTCTCTCTCTCTCTCAGTATTATACTAACCTGCCAAATCTGTTGGCAATTATTCCTCCGCTAAAACCACCTAGCATACCACCAATTGCAAATATGCTCACCGCTATAGAATATAGTTTTTTAACAGAATCATCAGTAATATCCTCTCCGTATCTATTTTTATACACATCTTTCATAAAATTCTCTATATTCTGCAAGAAGATAAGGATCTTGTGAAGTAGGTTAATAACTAGGTTCTTAGATATAACATTTATCATTGCTTATGAGAACATACCACTTCGGGTGCGTTAATGACTCCTGTGTTATATCCAAATTGCAACATGCCCAAAACAGCCGCCAATATCGCATACGATAAGAAAAATGTTAAGCCCTGCAAGTATTAATATGGCTAAATAATGGAGACAAGCGAATGGGAAACAAAACAATTTGCAAACATAAGTATATAAAAAAAAGGAAAAAAAAAATTGGAACGATAAAAATTGAGACATTCTTTATGCACCATTTTTTATAAAAGATACTTTAAAAGGTTATTCCCAAAGATATATTAAATACCTTAAAGTAATAATAAGGACAAAATAAAATAATGCAAAAAATAGTTTTATTCACTTTCCCATTGTTGTTTGACATTGAATAATTGTGAGATAGTTACAACATAATATACAAAATTATCTACAAAATAAACGTAAAATAGATTGCGGCATGTCGTACATTAGGATAAAAGATTGCGTTAATTAAAAACTAAGGCATTATACATAAAATCATGGGTAGAAAATAAAATTAAAAGAAAAAGTTAATGTTTTGTCGTTATGAGTGTCACCTGTTCCAACAGTCTGAGTTTTCGCCGGTGTGAATGCTCTTCCAGACGATCTACATATTCTCGTAACTCCTCTATCTCCTCCTTTACTTGCTGCACGGTGTCTAGCTCGTGCTATGTTAAATGAAATATATAAGGTCTATATTGTACATAAAAGAGATGTTATCGTAAAATTTGATCTATGTATATTATATATATGTATATTATTTCTCCTACGGCGAACTGGAATGAATTCTTTTTTGTCAACAATATTTTCTCTCATCAGATTATTTGATTACACCTAGTCATAAATTAGATGTATAAAACGAAATTGATTCCAGCTGTGATCATAACGTTTTTATTTTTCGTCTAATTAAATAATCCTCTAAGTTTCGAATACGAAGATGTAATAATTGATGTAAGCGATGATAGGCGATGGGACAAGTACCTTAATCGCAACCATATCCCTTTTCACCTCGCTGACTTCGCTCTGGCAAGACTCAACACTTTTGGTGAGCTCCTGTAGCTGCGTGCGTATCTCACACAGGGCGACAGTAGTCTCCAGCTGGCGGTCACCCCGCTGCAGCTCGTCCAACTTGGCACTCAAGTTCATACTCATAACGCTGACCTGTTTCTGCAGACTGCCCACACACACATAGCCACACGTAAATCTTCCTGGCTCGGCCGGGAAAAGAGATCGACATTGTCGAGCACATTGACACTATAGACCAAGGCCAGCTAGTAGTCTTCAAGGTTAATTCAACTACCTTCGCGGCCGCGAAAACTGCCGAGCCTTTTCTTTCCTATGAGTTATTGCGTGCAAAGAGAGCTTTCTCTTTCTCTTTATAATCTAACACGAGTATATTAAGGCTTTATGACGTGAAGAAGGGGAAGAAAAATATATATTTTGCAAATATACATATATGTAAATGTATATATATATATATATATATATATATATATGTATATATATGTATATCAATAGGTACACCTGTTTTTCAGAAACTTTAAAACGTTCACCGAGTCCTGCATGTTCTGCTCGGCAGTCAATAAAATATCGATTATATATTTTATTTAATTAAAATGTTTTTTTTTTCTTTATTATGAATAACGGTACCGATTTACGCTATATATATACGTATGTATGTGTATATATAAGTATATATAAACATATACATATACATATGCGCTATTATGCGCATACACTCACATACCGCAAATTGTGTAATATATGCGCATGTATATGAAATGCGTACATTGAAAGGTATTGTCTCTCTTACGTGAATCGTTATATAAATATATAAAATATATAACGGCTTGCGAAAGAGACATGGACAGAGACAAAAGTACAAACGCCACTAAAAGCATGTCTATATGTGTATAGGTATTTTAGGTGTGTAAGAGGGTAAGAGATGCTACATCAGTAATAATACTTTTCGCAGCTGTGCACATTAGACGGTAATTTTTAAGGTGAAAGAGAAAGACAGAGAGAAAGACAGAGAGAAAGACAGAGAAAGAGAGAGAGAGAGAGAGAGAGAGAGAGAGAGAGAGAGAGAGAGAGAAAGAGAGAGAGAGAGAGAGAGAGAGAGAGACACAGAATAAATCTATAGAATTTCGTCGTTTATTTATTTATTACGTGTATATCATCTAACAGTCGTTCTCTTCGTTTATCAAAATTTATTACCCTCTTTCTGCAAAAACAAAGGTTAATAGAGATCTCAGAGAAAAAAAGATAAAGAGGAGAGAGAAAGAAAGAGAAAAGTGTAACGTTGGTGCGTTCTATGCAGAAGAGGGTTTGAACCGTTTCTTGTGTTTTTTGTTTATCATTTTAATTAACAACATTTCGTTGTAATATTATATATGTAATGTTATATAAGTGGCAATACGCATGATCAACTAAACACGATGCGGGAAGAGTGCAAAAAAAGAATGGGTCACATGGCGATATGAAAATTCTAATTTAAGTTCAATGCTTTCGATAAATATTTATTTATACGTTCATACGTATATACACGCTGTGTATATTATATATATATATATATATATATATATATATATATATATATATATAATAAATTCGCGAATGATATTGTCGATCGACGATGATATTTAGTAAATTTATCAATCGATGTGCACAGCAAAGCAGAAAGGGTGATAGCAATTAAAGATGGAAGAGAAAGAAAAAAAGAAAGAGAGAGAGAGAGAGAGAGCAAGAGAAACAAAGAAAAGGAGAGAAAAAGGAAGTTGCTGCAAGGCGTGTGTCGTCGAGTATGAAAGAGGTGAATAGCAAAAACGAATAACATATGATTCAAAGTTACGTAAAGAGAGAAACGATGAGAAATGTAGCAGGAGCGAGATGCATCGTGATATCGAAAGAAAAAGTATAAGAATAAAGAAAAAAGACGATGGATGTAACGATAGAAATATGAGAGGAATAAGAAGAAAGAAAGAGAGAAAGAGTGAAGAGTGTAAGATGAGAGAGAGAGAGAGAGAGAGAGAGAGAGAGAGAGAGAGAGAAAGAGAGAGAGAGTAGATAGATAGAGCAGCGATGATGTTGCCATGTACCTGGGAGGTAGGGAGACCATGGCTGTGTTCCGAAACTACAGTAGCCTCTATGCCTCCCCACTCACTCCTCTTGATTCAGTATTTCGTCTTATTCTCAGATTATTTGTTCTTTGCTTTGTTCACACGACATATGTACGTACGTTGGATTATCCACCAAATCCAATGAATTGACTCTGAACGATTGCACTGCTTGTTGTCAAGTGGGTCCACAACCAAAGTGGAGGGGTAACGTGTGGCGGGGGGTATAAAAGGCCGACGACGCCCGCCCCTGCCTTCTCTTATCACTCACTCTGTAAATCTTTACCTAGTTTGGAAACACAGTCGTGGTTCAGTCAATAATTATGTCAATAATGATATATTCGCTCGCATTTAGTAACGTGACGTTCAATTCTTCTAAGTAAATATAGGATAGAGAGAGAGAGAGAAAGAGAAAGAGAAAGAGAAAGAGAGAGAGAGAGAGAGAGAGAGAGAAAGAGAGAGAGAAAAAGAGAGAGAGAGAGAGAGAGAGAGAGAGAGAGAGAGAGAGAGAGAGAGAGAGAGAGAGAGAGATAGAGATAGATAGAGAGATAGTGGTCGACGGCCTCCGTTTAACGTGCGAGAAAAATGAAGGCCGTCATATAGTATATAATAATATAATATTATTATCATTAATATTAATATATTATTGTGTTATTATTTAGATTTGTCATCGCCATGCGACGCACCGCCAGCTTACTCACCCCTGCCGCCCGCGTCCACAAGCGAGCTTGCAATTTGAATGGACCATCACTTTTATGCGGAACGAACAGTTGGCAAAATAATTCACAAAAAGTCAGCATGATGTCGATGAGCGACGAGAGAGAAAGAAAAAGAGAAAGAAAGAGAGAGAGAGAAAGAGAGACATTAGAGTCGAGTACTCGAACAAGTGTTAAATTTTGTGTCTCATTATTATTATTATTATTATTATTATTATTATTATTATTATTATTATTATTATTATTTTTATTATTATTATTATTATTATTGATTACCCTACGCTCGGACCGATAGATCATTCATATATCGTACTTGTTCGTCTACTTGACTTGGAGTACATGATCGAATGGAATGGAGCAATCAGTGGTAAGCCTGCGAGCGCCGCAGCCAAAGAATTCAAGTAACCATAACACAACGTATTGCCAGTGTTCGAAATATTATCATGTTTTATGAACTAAGGGCGTGTAAATATGTACAAGGATGGATCTAGAGCGAATGTGAATCATGTATAAATGATGAAATGGCATGGCAAAAAGCCTCACATTCTCGGAAAGTACATAAAAGAATCTTATGGATAAAATGATAAGTAGGAAGAGATATCGTTTATATGTTTCTTTTTTTCCTTTTTGTTTCCTTTTATTGCCTTTTTTTTATTTTTTTATTTTTTTTTTCGTTGTAGATGAAACAATCGAGGGCACCGCCACTTAAGCCAGAATTACCTGGATGCATTTTTAAATACCGTTGGAAATAGTTACTTGAAAAAAGAAGAGAAACACTTATCTACGAAGTAATAAGAAGTTCGAAACATTCTTATCTATGATGAAGTTTGCGATCAGTAAAAACTATCGATTCGAGCACTTTCGAGCACTTTAGAATGGTCAAAAGAGAAAGAAAGAGATAGATAGATAGATAGATAGATAGATAGATAGAGAAAGAGAAAGAGAGAGAGAGAGAGAGAGAGAGAGAGAGAGAGAGAGAGAGAGAGAGAGAGAGCGCAAAGTATCCTCTTAATTGATATGCAAGCTTCAAGAGCTCTACCGACGAGCTATCGCGGTGCTAAACTAAATTACTTTTCAAGGTTCAAGGATGCTTGTAAATATTAAAATATATCTACTCGAAAGTATACTTGGTACATTTTCAGACGGACTAAGATGTTTTCTACGCTTCGTTCATTCAGAGAGAGAGAAAAAAAAAAAGAAAATATATAATTTTATTTTGTCTGTTGATCTACGTTGGAGCCTAATAAAATGTAACTACTGTTCTGTACAATTTCTTGAAAAGCAAAAGCGCAGTATGTACTATGTAGTAAATATGTTCAGAACTATAAAACTGGATTAGCTCAAATCATCGTCGGTAGAAATTTATAAATTTTTAACGAATTGCGTCTATATTATTCGTACATATTTTGCGGCGTAAGAAAGCGATCGTTGTAAAAGACTACGCGATATTATAATAGATTCAAAATAAAATAAAGTCATCGTCATTTGTTTTTTCAGGTGTTTTTCCATCTTGTAACGATCCACAACCATTCAATGTCGAGTCGATCAACCGTGTCATTCTTAACAAGTAAATCAACGCGTTAGATATATGAGTAATGAAAAATGAATGAGGAAAGAGAAGGAATTCCAACGTGTTTCAAAGTTCAATTTTCAAACAAAATCCTATTGTTTGATTTTTTTTCATTTTAAGTAAAAAAGGTCTCCAAAGAAATTCTTCTCCTTTGACGTGTCTCTTACGAGACATATCTCCAAAGGAAGAATCCAGATAATTCTCAAGAACATTGGTGGCGACGCCAAGTAACCTTTTTGATTAGATGTACTCTTCGAAGCATAGTCCTAAAGATAAAACATATTGCCTTTCTTTTCGGAACGTCTTGGACCAACACGTTCGTCGTAAGAAATCAATCGAACCAGTTAGAATAAAATAGCACTCTGATATACTACGTATCACGGAGTCATAGTGTCGGATGTGGTCCACTGTAGAAGAGATGGGAGAAGAAGAAACAAAAGGGGATTGGGCGGGAAAAAGGTAAATAGTTATAGATAGATAGACAGATAGATAGATAGATAGATAGATAGATAGATAGATAGATAGTTAGATAGATAGATAAAGATATAGATATATAGATAGAAGGAAAAAAGTGGCGTACGTCGAGAACGTACCTTACAAGCAACTCCCGTAGAGTAGCTTCATCGTCCTCCTGTATCTCTTCCTGCGTCTCATTACTGAAAAATCCGCGGCTTGAGCGATGCTGATGATGATGCCTGACGCTCGGCCTAGTCGCACCTCCGGGCGGATGTTTGCTGTGTAAGCCGTGATGATGATGGTGATAATGTTGGCCGGTATTGGTACTGGCCGAGTGCAGGTACCGAGCAACGGTGCTGCTGCTTGTTCGCTCCCTGGTCAGCTTGAGAGCGGTCGCAGGAGGTGGCAGTACGGCTCCTGTACCGGACTCCACGTAACTCCTACGCGCGGCATACTGCTCCTCCTCCACCCTGCTACCGATATTTTTCCTCTCACTCGATGATGGCCTGTCGGCCGATCTGCTTCGCGACCTCGAGTCGCCTGTTTTCTTGCTAGTCGCGATGGTGGTGGTGCCGATACTCTCAGTATCGTGATATCTCCACCAACCTCTGTTACTTCTGCTGCTACAAATTTCTTTTTGTCGTTCGAGTCCTCTCTCTTCCTCCTCCTCGTCCTCCTCCTCCTCCTCTTCTTCCTCTTCCTCCTCCTCCTCCTCCTCCTCCTCCTCCTCTTCTGCTCCCTCTCCTCCCTCTTCTTCTTCCTCCTCTTCCTCTTCCTCCTCCCCAACGACGGCGGCCCCCGCCGGCCTTACTTCGGTATCCTGGGACCCCGAAAGGCCCGAGATCTCTTCGTATAAGTATTCCGAATCTGGATCCGTTGATACTGCCACGCTCTGCCACAACTGATTTATTGGTTTGAAGCCGCGTGGATCGGCCATCGTTCGGGCTGCTTCAGGGGGCAGACAGAGAGAGAGAGAGAGAGAGAGAGAGAGAGAGAGAGAGAGAGAGACACACACACATAGATCTTCTGAGAGAACTTTACGAGATGATCTTTGCAATATTTTCCTCTTATTCCGCGATGGTGCTTTTTAAGGACCATCGCTAGTCTCTTTGATTAGTTTTAATGGATTCGAACGATTCAATGTAAATATCAATTAATTGACAGACTTTATCTTTAATAATTTATGTGCTGTCGAACGTACATATATTACTTATATATTAAGAAAATTTCCAACTTTTTTTTCCACAATGGAACTTTTAAGGACCATCGCGGTTTTATCGAGCGGCTAATCATATCTCTGTTGCACGATTCAAGGAACTCTCTCATCACGCATCTTATGCAACTTGTGCATTGCTAATGTTAAATTTACTATCGAATCGTGAAACCATCGAGAAGCATCTTACCTTAAGAATATTTTTTTCTTAGATCAGTCAACGACGTTTGTGTGATAATTCATTAAAATACTTGTTATTGTAGTAGACAGACAGGAAAGAAGGAAGAAAAGAAGCAAGTAAAGAAGGGAAAAGGAGAAGAATATTCACGCAAACTAGCGACGGGATTTCATAAAATCCCGTAGTCTGCCAGTAGGCATGTCTTGCGTGCAACGCTCTCTCTGTTAATAGCGTGTCTGATAGTTTTGAATACTACGAGTCAGAAGTTGAACTCTTAGACGAGCAACAAAGGGTATGCTCAAAAATAGAAGACAGCAGATATCATGTATTCGTATTAGTATCAATGCGATCGTTTATTAGTGCGATGCGTGAAATTGGAAATGGCTAACTAAGTTACTGCAAGATCATACTGCAGTAATTAAATATATAAAGACTTTACACGCACGATTGGCGATAGAGTGCCACGTTAGTAATCTATAACGTTGCAGGAGATTTGCTTTTAATACAAAAGAATAGGAAAATTGTTGTTATTGTTTTGAATTAAAAAAATATTATATACGATCAGTACGATGTATAATGATTTAATTAAAATTCAAGTAAGAATTAAAAGAATAAACTGAAGGAAGGATCGACGTAATAGATCGTGTAAATAAATAGTTACCTGTGTTCTTAGGCATAACTATCGTTTCTCGATACGCATTATTAGTAATTTCTGCGGTATTATTTTTTATGTAACTCATTGCAGATAAGGATCGAAGATGATTTAAACTGATACGATTGATCGAATCAATGATGATTCATTTCAATACGTTATTAAAATATTGGCGAGATTAATCTGCATAATATTCCGATTTTTCTTTTATCTAGTAATCAGTCACTATATCTCTTGAATTCCTTTTTAATCGAATAGAAATGAAAATGACGCAAGATTCCTCAAAATAGTTAATATTGGTCCATGTTTTTTCATAAAGAATGAAACGTCAAGACCACTTGACGATTTGTGAAAAGAAAAAAAAACAAAGAAAAAAGAAAAATAGAAAAAAAGAAGAATAATCAGATATGAAGAGAGCAATTACGAAATCATTATCAAGATATTGTATCGCGTAATAATTTACTATTCCATCAACGAGATTGCACTTCCCCCGCCACTGAAAATGTACACTGCGATGTAATTATCGTAATTTTTCTTATTGAATGACCGTTCAATAATAACGCGAATAATGCAAATACGAGATTGTCGCCTATAATACAGTTCTTCATCGGGTATTATGACTTATCAGTAAATAAATCTAATTACACACACACACACACACATGTATATGTATATATATCTTTTTTCTTTTTTACAGAGTAAAAATATAATGGACTCACCTTAGTAACTTTGCAAGCCATCGTGCCAGGCGATTAGACGAGGCGCCAACAACGTTTCTCTCTTCGATGTATATCTCCGAGCGACGTACGCCACGATTTCACTTTTCGTTTTCCTTTTCGTCCCTATCGTTTCGACTCCCGTTCTCGCGAAAAGAACAAACGAGCGTATTTTATTTCCTTGATATTGTAACAGGAAAGTAAGATGCGCGAGGAGGTGTGTGGATGCTTTTTCACGGCGCTCGATGTTAAGCGAAATTAACGAAGAAGAGGACGACGTTTTTGTCACCGTTGAAGCACTTAACGAGTGCTTTCTACCAAAGCCCACTCTTCAATTTGATCGATTTCGGCTTCGTTTCGACATACGAATTATTTGACCTGAAACGAGAAGACAAATATAGATATTATCGTTCGTTCTTTTTTTTTTTTTTTTTTTTTTTTTTTTAACATGTTTCACTTATCGTTATCATGTTTACAATAACTAATAAATTTTTCTACACGCACGGAACAAATGGTAAACGTTTCAAGTGCCTCGCGCTTAATAAAAGCTTAATAAAAATATAATATCGTGGTAATATTTCATTGCGTTATTTATTATCTTATTGAACTTTTGCCTATTAGATTATTCGATTATTAACTATAATTAGATGTAATCCTAAATTGGAGAATATTTCAAAATTTACGGAAACTCCATACGCGTAACTTCAATATAAACAAATTAATTTTTATTCATCTTCATTTTTTCCTTCAACATTTACGTATACATGTTTATTGCAAAGGAGGATTTTCATTTCTTAATTGAAACGTATAATAATTTTATCATCTCGTTAGGAAAATATAGAGATTTCAAAATAATTTTGAGTAGGAGAAATAAATTACGAGAGGAATGCGAAGAATGTTCGATCGTTATCGATAAAAGAAAAGAAAAGTGGGAATTATCGTAAGATCGATAAATTCATATCACAATGGAAGAGTGCATTTTAATCTATACGATCAACGCATTATTTCTTTTCTTTCTTTAATGGGTTTCTTCTAACGATTTTTAGACTAAAATATAAGTTGCAACAAATTACATAGTTGGCTCTTGGTTTTCACTAGTTTTCCTGAATAGATAATTTGCCGACTTTCTTACGAACACCCAAGTATATATTCCTTTTCTTCACCTACTTACGTTACTCTTACTATTTCCATATTTTTTCACATTATCACAGACAATATATGTTTTTAACGAAGTAACGAACACTGGACGACCATATCAGATACTAATAGATGATGAAATCATAAGACGAATGGAAGCTATTCAGCATTCAAGGCCGTTCGAAAGTAAATCCACGATTCAATATGGTGAAATCCTAAAGGGTCATTTACGTTTCTGTTGTTTCTCCTAGCGTCATTCTCTCACAGTTTATAACGAATGAGATTTTATGATAGCAATCAACGACTATCACAGTACCATGGATATTAAGTTTAATGCCAGGTTTTCTGTTTGTCTCTCCCTCTCTCTCTCTCTCTCTCTCTCTCTCTCTCTCTCTGTCTCCCTTTCTATCTCAAGTTTCTCTATGTTCAAGTATCAAGTTAGTATTCTCGCATTATCATTAATAAACATTCACAGAGTAGGAAAAATGCCTTTTGTACATTTTTTCTTTGTATCGACTACTATGTCGCCTACTTTTATTATCAACTTTTGATTAAAACTTGCGACAATAGATAACTAAGGCGTACGAACTCTTGGACCTTTCGTGTGCCCACGTACATATATATAGATATTCTCGTTTATCGAATTGTTTAATCATATAGAAAAAAAAAAAACAAAAAAAAAAAAAAAACAAAAGTCCAAATCTTTTCAATAAATATGAATTATAAGTTATTTCCTATATAGTATCGTTAAGGGAAATAAATCGATGAAACGAAAGGAAAAGCTAATTCTTCTGTCCTTTCGTGTTTCGTTGAAAGAATTTCGTTACGCCATGATTTGACACGGTTGAAAGCGCATCACTCTCACGGTAACAAGCTGTAACTATCGGAGAGTACAGCGAACTTTAAAAAAAGTTAACGGTTGATAGCAATAGAAAGGTGTGTAGCAGAGAATATATATGTCATATAGGGGGTACATTCATACATTTGAAAGAAAAGAGAATGTGCCGTACCTTTTTCTTGTACACACAGTTGACTCTTGTAAATGCAGGCAGACACGTATGTACATACGTACACGTCAATAATACGGAATCTATATGGGACACGCACGCGTATTATTAGATTTTCGCGTACGGACCGCGCACACGGATCGTTACGAGGAGGCTAGCAAATACGTCCTCGTGAACGTTGAATCTCTGAGTGGAGCTTGGAGGGGGAAAAAGAAGAAAAGAAAAAGAAAAGATAAAAAGTAGAAAAAAAAAAAAAAAGACAAGGAGGTAAGAATGGAAGAAGTGAGGCTTGAGCGCGAGTTTAGATAAGCGAGGTCATTCCGGCAACGGTTCTCGCTCGACTAACGAGTGCATAACCATTGAGGTCTCTACGAGATTCCTCGAATCTCTCCCTACCACTATTATTTACGCCCTACTCTTTCTCTCATCATTTGAATTTACGTTCGAGGCTCTCGTTCAGTTTCCTTATATTCCTTATATAGATATACCTATCTACGTCTCTTGGAATCGTTTGTACGCGTATTTGTTGCGCGTTGGTCGCGTTTCCTACCAACAAAACGATCGCTCTGACTCGCGTTGAAGCTGTCAAGATTTCTAATAGATAATTTCGTTGATCGGTATATACCTACATATATGTACATATGTATTCACCGTTGAATATAACCAAGCAGCAGGTGTTGAGCATTCATTGTCTTGCATTATCGCTAGGAGGAATTCTTTAAACGTTTAAAGAAAAACTTGACTCGTAACTCGAGAACGAGTTACATTGTTTCCCCATCGACTCTCACGTCGATCGATATCTTCATTCTCCGAAGAGCAATGCCTTGTAAAGTTCTCCGATCGCGGGGAAAATTTAATTCGTTGGCCTGACAATGTGAGGACATCACGTTACTCCATTAACATTATTTTTCTCATTTCGAAAAATTATCCTTGTAACCGTCACAATTAACGTCGTTTCTACGTTTATGCAACAGAGTTAAATAACGATTCGTGGTTAAATAAAAAGAAAAGTGGAACACAAACGAGCGTACATGTGTATTATATCGCATGATCGTCGAACGTAGTGCGTAAATTTAGGTTGACATCGTTTTATATCTGAATGACCTTTGGGATATTTTTTTCTTTTTCCTTTAAATTTCTCGAAACGTCGAGTTATTCGTATTTCAATTCTTTAACTAGTTAGCTTCGATGTAACCAATCTCTTAACAAAACATTTCATAATTTTATCAACGCATAACTTTCAGTCAACAACATATTCTCTTACTCTTGCTTTTCTTTCTTCTTTTTTGTTTTGTTTTTTTCTCGGGATCAAATAGGCTCCTGTTTCATCGTTATTGTAAATATGCATTGATTCAATAAAAATGATCTTCAAGAAGGAGAAACATTTAAAATTGGAGTAACGCCAATGGATTCTATCTCTCCCTCTCTCTTTCCATATAATATGCTTCACTATGCGAGACATATAATATCGTTGACGGGATTTACACGAGCCTCAAAAGCTGTAATGGTAAAACCACCTCTATAAATCCCTCTATAGTAAGTTGACGATAGTCTAGCACATGAATGTCGACCTATCGGTTACCTCGATGCATCCTGGGTAGAACATCCCTGAGATATACCACAGGAGGTAGAGATACGCGATAATTAACAGATTGCATGACGGTAGCCTATTTTCAGGCTTTTAACCAGCGTGACATATCATCGGGTCAAGTACGTATCGTAAGTTAGCGATCTTGAAACATTTTCGTAAGTTCGATCTATTCAATGTTTGATCTTCAATCGGAAAACGAAAAAGTTCAAATATATATATATATATGTACATATAATGTATATATATGTAGATATATATATATATATATATATATATATATATATATAACATGGGTGATCGATCAAGTAAATATGAAAGTAAGTAGGTCACGAGCATACGCGCCCGTCGGCTAAGACTTTCCTCCTCTTTCCCCCTTGGCCCTTCACCGTAGATCCTAAGGCAAACTTCTCGAATTTACTGCGAACTTTTTGGCCGCTGTCAGCCACGAAGATTTATTAAAAACTACGTACTGCTGACGATGAATCGTCACAAACGTTCCATTCTCTCTCTCTCTCGAGAGAGAGAGAGAGAGAGAGAGAACTCTTGCACTATGATATATTATTTCCTTTACTTTACATATCTCGAAAAGTTCTCTGCTTTAGACCAGAATAGAAAATGTTAATCGTTACATTTTTTTATTTGTTTATTTTGTCTGCATATATCAATAATTTTCTTACGGAGATTCGTATTCGATTTCACG